CAGTCTTTGACTTTTGCATAGTGTTCTAATTGTGGTTTCAAATGAAAAACAAAAAATGCTTCCATTTCAATCCTTTTTGCCCCCTAACAAGCACAGTTCTGCATTCGGAATCTTCAAATTAATTCACAACTTCAAATCAGATCTGCAGTGCAACATAGAAAGAAAAAGCAAAAGTATGTTTTTAATTTTTATTCAAAAAACTTCAAAATAGGTTTCAAGTTCAAGAAAGTAGAATAAGCTTAAACACAATGCAAAGCATCATATACAGACGGATAAAATACATTTTATATACTGCAGACAAGCCATGTCGGGTATTACATATGTACAATATGTAAACTTGTATATACAATCTTTTTTACATTTACAAAAAAAAGCTTTGTTTCTATTTTCTCTTTGTATATATATATAGATATTTTTTTATATTCCCCACTAGCATTTGTACTACAATAATGAAAAACATTTACAGATCTGTCAATCCATTTTCTCTTTTTTATATTACAAATGTATTTCCAAAAAAATATATCTCTGTACAAAAAGTTTTGTTTTTTTTTTTGTTCATTTGTTCTCCTTTCTCCTTGTGTAATTCACACTAGGCCAGTCCATTCAGGTCCTCTCACATTTTGTACACTTGCTTTTCAACAACAACAACAACAAAAAAAAAAAAACCCTTTTGGTCAAAGAGCATATAACTGCAGTCTGACTGTGTTCCTTGAGGCTTTGGCTAGGCAGAGCAGTCCTGTAAAAGTCACTCAAGGTTGGGCACTTCTCTCTTGCTGAGCGGAGAGGAATGCATGGGTTGTTTGGGTTCTTTTTTTTCTCAAAAGGAACAGTTAAAACAGGAGGAAAAGCAGGATTCTGAAAAGTGCATACTGAACGTTTCAACATAGATTTTGATTATTTAGTCCAAGGATTTTAATGGAATCATCAGAATACATACTCTGGGGATAAAAACTATATCAATATAGGTTATGTACAATTCAAAATATATTTCATAATATGGATAAACATCTTTTCTCTGGGGACATTTTGAGAGTTACTCAAGGTGGTTATTTGATTTGCTTCATGTATAAGCCAGTGAATAGTTGGCTGGTTGCGGGAAATATGAAGGTAAAGATATTTAGCTACTTTACAGGCAATTCAGAGAGCTGAGATACATTCAATGTAATATGGGCATTTCCATGTGAATGCTACTTCCCTTCTTGTCTTACTTCATCCATATAAGGCTTGAGACTCTGACGTTCACGAGTGAAGTGTGTACAAACAACAATGTCAGTGCAATGCCAGTGCAGTCACACCTGAAATGTAGCCATAGAACCAGCAAAAGTTTGGGTAAGGGATCTTATTTCCTTCCAACTAATATAAAAAGCAAGATCAACATTAACAGAGATATTTCACCAACACAAGCAGCTTGAAAAACAGAAGCTGCTGGGAGTCTGACACTTTAACTCAATGACCAGATCATATAGAGTAATCAGGCCCTTTATAGCTCCCCAGGAGAGACAACGAAGCCTGGTACGAGGTGATAAAGATGGGCCTAAAGAGTCAGCCTTCATTGCAGCTGGAAAATATGAGGATCTCTGGCCTGATCACCTCTCTCTGCACAGTGAACAGGAGCTAAATGACATCATAGAGGCTGAAAGGCCAATAATTGAAAGTTGTTTGCTAGTAGCAGTAATGCTTCAAAGCATTCATATCGCCAAAACGGATATACTTTTTAAATGTTATATCTAATAGAGCAAAGCTATACAATAAAGGCAGCGCATACCTTCCACTTTGGCAAATAAGTACCATAGCTGTTCTATGATAATGCTAAAGATATTGTAAACCAGTGGCTGTATATCAGTAAGAAGGAACAGATTAATGATTACAGCCATCATACATGAAGTCCAGTACAGCAGATGTTTATTTTTTGGGAGGTTTCTAATGAGCAACAGATTGCCTGGAGCCTCGCCAACACATGGATCTACTGTAAACGAATTCAAAGGTTTTCAGAAAAGCTCAGCTCTGTTTGCTTGCTCCTGCTTTCTCTCTTTCTCTCCAGTCATGTGTTTTTCTCCTGGGCTAAGAATAACACAAAGGCTTAACTCTCAGCCAAACACAGCAGAGCAAGAACCAGTAGCTTTGAAATTCTCCCCTGGCAGTTGACAGTTGTTTTTTGAAATGCACCGATGTACAGTATCACAATGGTAAATAGGGAGCTGGGGAAAGACCAAACCTTCTGTGAGCCAGATAACGTCTGAGAGAGCTACCAAAACAGTGGTGCAACGGATGGGCAAGACCTCAAGAAACACCAGAGGTTGCCTGAATCCTTCTCAGCTTCTTTTTCGCAAGTATAAAATAGGAAATAAAAAGAAGGAGAATTTCGGCGCTCTCTCGTCTAAAAAGCCCTTCTCCCTGGAGTTCCCTTAATAAAACCCTAAATGATAGATTGAAAGTGTTTTCCTAAGATCATTTTAATTCAAGTCCTAACGCTAAAACGATAGCTCAGGTCATATGTTGTATTCCCCTTTGCTTCTGTAAAACAGTCACTGGATTTATATCAGAAAATGTCTCAATTTTACCACTGGAAATAAATTGCTGGGGATACAGAGTCATAACTGACATATGATGTGTGGGAAATAGTGTATAAGTGAGTGCAGATGCCATCCACTGTGATAAAGCAATTTGAAATGAAATTATGTGAGGGAAAGGAAGAAAAGAAAAAAAGAACAGCGTCATATTCTGCAATGTGAAGCGAATGCCAATACGTTTAAGATAATGTGCCTGCCAACCGTTTTGCCTGTGAAATCACAGGGGAAATACAATCTTTGCTTTTTCCATCAACTCACAATTGAAACAAGCACTGGGCAATATTATATTCACGTAGCTGAGATAAGCTACAGATTTAAAAAGTAATAAAATTGTAAAAGCAATTACCAGAAGAGAGGTGAAACAGACTGAAGGAACAATACAGCGCTTCCGTTCAGAAGCTGTTTTTTTTTTCTCCGTAGCAAATAATGTCAGGGACTTTAAATGCTCTTTGCAAATGCAAGCCAATGATAGTAGGCACTAGATAATTGTGGGCTTGGAAGTAAGAAGGCTACACAAAGCCAAAAATAGGCAATTCCATGTGACAGAAGGGGAGCCACCACATGAGTATACTAAATGACTACAGCATGCTGGATTGATTTTCCAAGCTGGACCACTAAACAATGAGAAAAAGAAAGAGAGCGTACAAAACGCTGCCGGTCCGGCATTTATGCTCATGTTTTGTAGGCAAATATACATGACTGAGGGCTTCTGATATGAGAACACTAGATGAGCTTAATGAAAGTATAACAATAAAATGGAGGCACGCTGTCTGTGGGACATATGTTGCTCAGATGGGTCTCAAGTACAATCTGGCCAACGTGCACACATTCCTGGACAAGAGCAAGTAAACCAGGCATAGAGATAAACCCACTAGTAATCTATCTAATTGATAAATTATCTTCTGAAAGCCTATCATAACTTTACTGACTGCTTTCCCTTATTTTTTGGGATTCTTCAGCATCTTCTTTTCTTAATAAACAGCCAGCAGTAAGACTGATGTTCAGTCTTTTTATCACTTAGTCACTGCCCTTAATATCAGATCAAAATGAGAGTGAGAGAAACGAAATCATAAACACAGCTTTCTATTACAAGCCATCTCCACCTCCACAATTCTGGAGTGACTGAGATGTTGTGAATATGCCCTGTACCATCTGCAAAGGTCCCTATTAGCCTAAACCAACTTAAATTCTGCAGAAAAATGTGTGTCAACAAATTGCCTGGTTGTTTTTCAGTTTTGGTCTTTTTTAGGTCATACTTTATCCTTGAATACACACAATGCTATTGAAATGAGGGGAAAGTATTAGTATGCCAGGACAAATTACATTTCATACCACGTTTTCTTGCTTTGATCTTAACTAGAAGTAGAACTAACACAAAGATCGAATTGGCACCATGTCGATTCAGCTTTGCCTTGATCTTGCGCGCTTGCTAGAATGCAAGGCTTGGAGATATGACCAGGAGTCAACAGGCTACGTGCTTTGTATGTTATTTCTTTTGTTGTATTTGCCGTTGTTTTGTTTGTGTATAGAAAAAAAGTTCTGTTGACAACCTTTCCATGAAGAAAGGTAAAGTAATTAAAACAGAAGACATCAGCAGCACCCCCCCCACCCCTTGAAGAATTCACAGCTGAGGAATAGTGCTTCTGAACACCATCTCTGTAAGCCTGCAGGCCACAGCGCCCAGAACACTCCATTACTGCTGGCTGCCTTTTTAAATATCAGTGAACAGTGCTCAGGACATCCACTGCAGACTAATGAGGGGTGGGAGGGAGACGGCGCCGCTCAGATGGCCCACACGGAGGAATGCAGATGTCATCCAAGTCCTGAATGTGCACTACATTCCTTGCTGTAAATGCAGGACCCGCAAAAAAAGAAAAAAAAAAAAGCAACAGAAAACTAACAGAATTCAAAGAAGATAAATCGCCTAAAGTCAGCCTTGCCAGCTCTCCCCACACACACAAATAACCTTCCCCATTTCCTTTCATATTCTTTTCCAGCGCTTTCCTCAGGGGCATGTACCGGCTTTCCAATCTCAGCCAGCCAGGGTGGCGAAATGCTGCAGAGAGAACACTCCACGCTCCAGGCTGGAGCGAGCAGAGAGAGGCCCTAATGATAGAACCCTTGTCTTCTAATAAGCCTCAAAATCTCATTCTACTTCAATTCACGCTCTGTGGCTTCAGGTGAAAATTTCAGAAGAATTGATAGTGAAACTGTCAACCAGAGAGGCCCAGTAATGTGAACAAAGTCTGCGTTTATCTGTAATCTCGCAGCTTCAGTGTGCAAGGAAAAAAAAACAGGCAAAATGCACTCCATGGAGAGACAAAAAAAGAATGTCGAAAAGTGAAACAGAGCTCCAACTGTCCAGGGTGTTCCTCTCACTAATTCCATTCATAGCAAGACTCTCCACATATCCCTGTTCATCCAGAGAAAGAAAAAACAGCACCAGCAGGCCCCTTGCTACTGAAAGCCCAGTATGAAAATAGCCCACCCCGTTATTTTTCGCGCTCTCTCTCTTTTTTTTTTGGCAAGCGACAGAATCGAGTGTCACAATCGTCCCCTCTGCCATGCCAAAGTTCCACAGGAAGCTCTTCCCGAAAAAAAAAAACAAAACAAAACCAGAGAAACAGCAGACGCATGTAAGAACAGGTAGAGTTTCAGATAGCAGACGCTGCTGTTGTCGTCTCCGAGGAACATGTTTGTGTTTCCCCGTCAAGATTTTTTTTTATTAGTTTGTTTGTTTCCTGCCTCATCATCAGGGAGCGATCTCTTTTCGCTATAATTAGAATTGGTTAAAAATGAAAATAAGCTTCCATTCTTCTTTTCCAGCCCACCCACGCAGCCCGTTCCTGCCTGTGGGGCCCCACGTGTGGGCAGGGGAACAAACTCGTCCTCAACCTGTGAAGACGGGGATGAACGTATGTGTAAAGAAAAGACAGGAGGCAGAGGAGGAAGAAAGGAGGGGAGACGAAAGATGGAGGCGTCAGACAGATCAGAGCGGGAAAGAAGGCAGAGAAAAAAGAGATGCAGTTAGGAGAGGGAAAAAACAGACGCACTAGTTATAATCAGAAGAAAAAAAAACATGTCAAGCAATATCAAGACAGGGTTCTGAAATTTCTTCTCTTAGGATTGACTCATTCGATTATGAACTGATTAACCTTTTGTCATTATGGCATTATGTGGTTAAAACAAGCAGCTAATCAGAAAATAATGAATTTACTTGCATTAAATATGTACATCAGTTCCACATGAATGACATATACATTATATATCCAAGGTTAGTAGACATCTGCTCATTTAGCATTTCTTCTGAGATTAAAGGTACTAATAAAGAGTATGTAACAGCCTCTACTCTTCTGAGAAGGCTTTACACTAGATGTTGGAACATTGCTGTGAGGATTTGATTGCATTCAGCCACAAGAGCATTAGTGAGGACAGGAATTAATGTTGGATGATTAGTTCTGGATCACTCTGACATATTGCAAAGGTATTGGATAGTGCTACCCAGTACTTAGCACTGGACATGGAGACTCATGTGCAGCTGCTCCAGAGCATCCCATTCTACTGGCACTGCTTTCATCTCTGTGAGTGCTGTTGAACACGTGTATCAGCAATAAGTGCACCTTAAAGTATTATACTAATTAGAGAGGGGTACTGGGGTACTGTCCGGATAGTTTTGGACATATTGCGTATTACATCAACACAATTTTGTCTTTAAGTTTACTTAGTCAGTAAGTGTGTTCATGTATTTTATTCATGTGGAACCAACATACACACTTGAACCAAGTCCATTCATAGCACCATATTTTACAGTGTAGACAATTATAAACAACTTCATGTCCAGGTCTGCAGTCTGCATAGATGTAGTTTATTCTGCAACTTCTTCCTGCTAACATTAAGTTAACATTTCTGACTGTCCTCATCTCCTTGCCTCAGCAGTTTGTTCCCCACTTTGGCCGAGGGCAAAGCCAGAGTGACGAAGTCAGCCTTTCACTTCACACTTTCACTGGATTTTATTTTTCCCCCCTCAGACTCCACAGTCCAACAAACTGCGCGCTGAAAAGGCAGTTTGGGAAATGATGGCTGAAATCTCTAGTAAACGATACCACTGAATCATGCCAAATGAGAAAAGAAATGGCCGTGTGTCTTGCCCTAAGGCCTCCATCCTCATCCAGCACATTGCAGTGCAGGGTTTCATCTGTTTGCCTATGACCTTTTTGTCTTTGGTGCTGAGCAACTTTCTGTCTTTCCCAAATGAAGCACATTAGATATTAAATCCTGACAGCAAGTGTGTGCTGAGGGCTTTGATACACAGGATAATCCACAGGGTTGAATTAACTCTTACAGTGCTCGCTTGTGTCCAGCTACAGGTGATGAATCAACACTGTAAGTATTAATTGTTGAGATTATGCTGTGTATATCAGCACCCATGGTTTGTGTGATTTTATGTATCAAAAACAGTCAGAATTAATTTTTACATGACCATATTTCAACATCTCTTTATCCCTTACAACTAAACAAGCTATTTTTGTTATTGTGCCTAATAAACCTTCAGATAGGCTGCCATGCATTGGGCCTCATTCAAAAAGCAGCCCAGGCTGAAATGAGGAACAACATGTTAAGTTTGGACTGAAACCCTTAGAGGCATTAGGGAACTTCAGCTACTCCTTTTGGGTGTGAATATGTTCATGTGAATTCAAAACTGGCTATTTCTGCAGCAAATGCTGTGATCAGCTGAAGCTCTTAACTAGCAATTTCACACATCTGACTAGAAAAAAATCAAAGAAATGCCCCCTTGGCTGGGAATTCTCACTTGGAAAGTGAGGATAGTGTTCTTAACTCAGTGCATGACGTCAAATTAACACAGCTGCTCACTGTCAGTAGTGATAAAGAATCACATCTGTACTTTTAAATGAGATTTGCTTTAGATCTGTCCACATACAGATGGGGTGTGTGGAGTCAATACAACTTAGAAAATACAATTTCAATGGATTATGGTACGATTATGTTCCCTGACTAAAGCTACTGAGATGTACCCTTGAGGGTACCACCCCAGTGACAAGAGTGGTACTGCCCCAGTGACAGTTTCATCCTTTTTTTTCTGAGAGTGCACTTTGTAGCTAGACTGTGCAGAGGTGAAAAATGACACAGTTGTAAGCTTCTAAGCCAAGCTGAATGCAGCATTAGTTTGCATGTATGCACTCAGTGGACTATGAAGGGAAGCTTACCATGCAGGAACATTTGGGTCCTTTAACCCTTTAAGACCAAACGTGTTTCCACACTCACGAGAAAATACAATACATCTAAATTCTGTGTTAATAACTGGTATTATTGAAAAGCTGAGTTTATGCTGAATCAGAGCAATGAGATCACTTGGTAATTGAGTGATATATCACCAAGTTCAAAAATAAAGATATGGATTAGGTTAAAGGGTTAACCTTATTATCTTGAGTTTAGGTACATTAAAAACAGTGCAACACATTAGCTGAGTGCTCGGGGGCTTACCTGTGGAGAAAGCGGTGGCTATACGGCTGTGCAGACTGTGCTGACCGTGAACTCGGATTCATTGGCCATGATGTCTGTGGGCTGGATGTTACGGTCATACATGGGGTTTTCAAAGGTTGCTCTTCCATTAGTGTTCTCATGGCCTGCGTAACCGTTGAAGGGTACTTTGGGTCTTTTCCTGATGGTGAGACAAGACATATCCAGATTACTTAAACTGAACCATTATTGATATTGGAGTGAAACATACACTGTGTACAGCGAGATCACAGTACTGACCATGTTATCTCACTAGCACAAACAAAGCAATGATTGATTAGCCGGGCAGTGTTTACCTGTGTTTGTAGAGATACAGAGCGAATCCTGCTATAATCATGGCTATAAAAGGCACTAAAATGGCTGCTGCCACTGAACTGCTGTTAGAGGCAAAGTTGTAGCCTGGATTCTCCCCATTTGGGTCCAGACCCTCTGTAGAAGAGACACATAAAGAGTGACTTGTTATAAAACAAAAAGAAAAATGAAAAGACTCAGAACAAAACCTTTTTTTTCTGGCAAGACTTCAGCTACACTGGGGCATGTCCAATTTTACTCAACAGCTCATTTGAGAATCCATTATTTCTAGGAGATAATATTTCACACTTCGCAGACTTAACTTACAAGTGGAAAAGTCTGTGACAAAGCTTATATTCAAATTCATTTTAATCAAATGACAAATGGAAAAACAAACAAATAGAACAAGAAAGTCAGATCTAGATTTTCCATCTATTTCTGTAATAAGCTCTGTAGATGGACACATTTTTGGGAGATGTCAAACTCCATTATGCAAACAGTACTTTTTAATTATAGCTATGAAGACACTACAAAGATGAAGTCATTTGCCATTCATTTTTCAATTTAGACCACAGTGCCTCCCTAAACAACAAGAGAGTGACAAAGCACCTGTTCATCAGACAATGCCAAAAAACTCCCCAATAAAGTAAAAGCAAGAAAGACTGGGAGATTCAATTAACTTACTCAATAAAGCCAGCCTATCAAACCACAACAAATGAGGCAATGCTCTGATGCTCACACACACATACACAAACAATCCCCACCAAACACACACTCAGGCTCAGCACTCCTCAGCCCCCATTTATTAATAAATCTACTGTTTGCTCAGGCTCTCGCACAGTCGGGATCGGAGTGCATACAGCTGTCGATTAGAAATGAAGCACGGCTGTTTCATTATGGTAGGATTTCACAGAAGACCCTTTGATTTGGCCCCCACAAGCCATGTTCTGCACTCTCTCCCTGTCTCTCTGACAAATAGGTCATACAGTAGCCACTTAATATAATTCTCTCCCTCTCTCTCTCTTTACTCCTGCACCCCCCAACTCACAAGAGTTAATCACTTTCAACAGTTTATAACAACAAAGACTAGTGTATAAGCAGTGCTAGGAGTATTTAATTAACTCCTACCACCAGGAGTGAAGACTGGAGAGAACAGAACAGGCTCAGCACTTCATTTTTGATTTATGGAGGATTATTCCTATCATTCCCTACCTGATAATTCCCTAAAACTGAAAGATGACTCATTTACAGCTGAGTGTCATTAACACCCTGCAGTTTATGCCTAAAAATGCACTGCAATTAAGACTGAAAAGCACATATTACTGTCAAGGTGGTTAGGTATGTATGAAATATAATATAATATAATATAATATAATATAATATAATATAATAAAATATAATATGATATAATAAAATCCATTAATTTAGTAAGACAATATTATTATTTTAAATAACAACAACCTAATAATAATAATAAAAAAATAAGTACTTTACTCTGAAGTATATCAATAATAACTATTATAAATTGTTAATTTAATTATTTATGTATTATTGCTATATAAACAAGAACATAAAAATCAAATTATTTGTTTTATGTGCATGTTTTTAGACCTAATTTATAATATAATAATAATATAATATATAATAATAGATAATTTGTTATGTTAATGTCTGGAAACCACTATATATGTATGTCTGGAAAAGTGAGACACAAATAAAACTTGGTGATACATATGATACTATAATAAATATTTATCTCATTAGCAACAACATTAAAATGATAATGACAATAACAACAACAACAATAATAATAATAGTAATAATAAAATTATTATCATTTTTATAGTCAGTAGTAGCATTAGTATCATTACTTTTTGTACTTTATGTACTGGTATTATTGCACTATTCATATTTGATCAGACAGTTACTGTGTAACTGTGTAAATGTTTTACTCTGCATACTTATCTTTCTATATATGCTGCTCTCACAGCATACACAACCTACACTTGTATTCTCTCCACTCATTCTGTGCATATGTATATTAGATTTATACTTGCATATCTACATATTTTTTTTACCACTCTACCGTCCTTCTGCACTTTATATGTAAATTATACTGTATTTTGCACTTCTGGTTAGATGCTAACTACATTTCATTGGCTCTGTACCTGTACTGTGACAATGACAATAAAGTTGAAACTAATCTAATCTAAATCTAAAATAGTACCATAATCAAATAAGTAACAAGAAAAATAACAGCTGATATCTGTAAAGTTAAAGACATACCCAGCCTCTGAAGCCCAAACTGGCCAAACCCTTTTCCTCGAACAAATCCTTGATACACAAAGGAGTTAGATGAAGCCATATATGACACCTGTAAAGAAAAGAGAACAAACAATTAAAGACCTCATATTATAAAGTCAATACATTTTCAAAATGTCAAGAATGAGCTGTTGAAAGGTAAATGTGTCAGCAACGCAGCGTACCTCTTACTGCTGACATTTAATTTCAAACCTAACCCATTCCTCATCCTAGTGAAAAACTGCGCATATGCACAAGCAAACTGTACACACACAGGTATACACACACACACACACACACACACATATACACACACACACACACACACACTCCCACACTAAAGCCCTCATGACCCACACTTTTAATTACATTTTCCCAGCTGCTTGTCTCCGGTGCATTGGTGGTGGAGGGGGGGCGTCTGGCCCCGATTACTCGGCAATGATTTAACTGACGTTTTAATTAAAAGAAAAACTTTCTCAGCTCTCCTATTCCCAGGAGTGATAGCGTGTACGTGTGTGTAGGTGTGTGTGAAGTCCGGGGTCTGGCCTCAGACAAGAGCTCTTTCTGCAGTGTGTGTATGTGGGGGTAAGGGCAGGGAGAATACTAAGCCCCTGGGGACAGAGACCTCTACCTCCCAAAGACTTAGAACTGGTTCCATGTAAGAGTAACAAGCAGCAGTTTCAGTTCAACTGCCATATCCTCCATTGTTCTTCTGTTTTATTGTTTCCTGAGGTCTGTTCATGACATTTATGTCATTTTATGTACCAAGAACAGTCGTAGTTCTTTTTTCATGATCTTTTTTTCAAGCACTTTTTATCTCTAAGAATTTAACAGGCTGTTTAACTGACTGATACATGTAAACTATCTTTTTCTGATTGGCCCGTATTGTGACTCATTCAAACAGCAGTCTCACTCCTTATAACCTCAACATGAATAGGCGGGGCTAAACTGCTATAGGTTAAATGGGTGGATATAGGTAAATATTTTTATTTCATTAACTTCACCAAAAGAATTCAAAGCAGCCTGTTTTAATCTTACTTTCCATATAGTCCCAATCAAACGTTTGGGCGCCCCCTGGCCAAATGACAGGTTTAGTTGATTTTCTAATGGAAAATAAGTCAACTCTACAGAGAACATACTTCTGTACATTTTGATGCACAATTACTGTTTATTTGCTGAATTTAACATATTAGTAAAAAATAAAAATATAATGTGGCCTGTGCAAAAGTTATGGCACATTTTATGTTTTATTTTTTTCCCATTATGTTAAATTCAGCAAATAAAATTTGTTCACTAAAATTTGTGCAAAACTTAAGATATTCACATTTCCTCCCTGTGGAGGATGTAGAGCAGGGGTGCACAACTCCAGTCCTGCAGGGCCAGTGTCCAGCACAGTTTGCTGATTTACATGATCAAACACACCTGATCAGACCTATGTGTTAGTTCTCAGGTTTAGTGGGTGTGTTTGAGTAGGGAAACCTCCAAATTGTTCTGGACACTGGCCCTCCAGGACTGGAGTTGTGCACCCCTGATGTAGAGGATTCGTGTTAGAAAATGAACAAAGCATGTAATTAAATGTAAATTCAAACTTTTGCCTGTGACTGTTTATTACTATCTGATATAATGTATATTACTCAACAGGGCTTATGGATATGGCTATGTTGTAATACATTTTTAAACAGTTATTGAATTTTACATGATGGCAAGATGCAGTAATATTCAGAGTGGACTTGAAAGGTCAGATCCTGTTTCAATCTTGTAACACACACTATGATAACAGTGTTGAGCAGTAAAATGACCATCACACAGAAAAATGGTTCCACTTGCTTTTTGGTAAGAGAACCTTTTAACAAACCAATTTTCATATTTCTAAATAGTAATGTCCTTTCCTTTAAACATGTATGAAGATCTTAAGCTTTTTGAAAGCATATGCAGATTTGACTGAGTTTCAGAAGAGTACTGTTACCATTTGCAGTGAGGATGAAATAAGCATGATAAAGGCGGAACTTAAAAAGCTGCCTGCTTGTCATTCAGCTGCCATTTATAAGGACAAGCTGGACACTATGAATTCATGACGGACCATGTGGCTTTGTGACTTCTTGTTAAAAAAAGTTAAAAGACAGGAAGTAATGTGAATCAGAAATAAGAAGAGGTAAGACTCAGACAATGGAGATTTTTCAAACCCAAATAGCCAGAACATCTAAAACATACAAGTCATTTTTCTGTGAACTGTGATTATAAATTCAGATCATAAACAGACAGTGAATGTCAATTCACTCTAGTTTATGTATGATGTATGATTAAGTATGATGGAGGTTTGGACTGAGACAAACTGAAGTGTCACTTTAAACTCTTTCCCTTGCTCTAATCAGAGAGCAATTAGGAACATCAACATAAGGTCAAGACTGAGAGGATTTAGAAGGTTAAGATGTTAATTTCGGAGGGTTATATGAAATGCTTTGCATCTCACATTACTCTATTCCTCACTAAACTCATCTAAGTAGAGTTACATGTACATATATAGTGGTTTTCTTTGTTCTTCTCACCCTGGGAAGAGTGCAGCAGTGTTCTCAAAGGATCCATCTCACATTTGTACACTTGTGTAAACCATTTGAACTTTTGCACAGTGATATATCACATAACAACAGTAATTCTTAGTTGTCTTATGGCCTTGTTGATGAGCTGGCAGTTACAAACTCCCAAAACCTGAAACTATGAGGATAATGACAATGATATTGAGTTTAAATGTGTTCATTTAGCTCTTTGTTTACATATTTTATTATTTCTTTAATTGTACAAGCAAACTACAGTTATATGTGTGATTGTGTAAGTTTGAATCATGTAAGTGCATTTCCTATATTTTTTGTATTGTATTGCTGAAAGTATTGTTCACATGTATCTGTTCTGCAACACACTGGGTACTGCATGGCAAGGCTGATGCAACATGGCAAAAAATGTCAAAAAATGTTCACTTTGAAATTTATAATGAAATGTCTAACTCTAAATGGAATTTTGCTTCTCACAGAACATAACGGCTTGTTAACTTGTTAAACTATAGCTTGGAATTTCCCATTTAATCAATCAGCAAGAAAACTATAACTCAGGATGTCATATGTACAGGGCCAATTTGTAAAAATACATTTATAGGGCCAAAATAAAAAGTAAAAAAAGATTCTCAATTACATACAGAGCAAAATGAAAGCTTCCATAGACCTCTGAAGTCATGTCATCATTCTGTAGACAGTGACATACCCATAATAGGAACTCCAAGCCAAAGACATTTTCCCTATGGGAAAAATGAATGGTGTTTTCAAAAATTAGCTATAGTTGCATCCTATGGACCTACAATCTTACCAAAAGACCCTGTGCAAGCTAGCAAGCTTTGCCAAATGTGGTAGTTACATTGCTTTGGCAGTGGTAGCCTACAGTTTGAGCATCCGGTGTTGGCATATACTAAAGTATAGCAGCAGCCTTACTTTCATGTGATGTCATTTCAATGCATAGGAATGTTTGCCCGCTTATAGCACAGAAGTAGCAAAATTTGGAATGTTTGGAATGCTTCTGTTTACTACAAGGTACAAAAGCATCAGTTTTTCAAAAATGGCACTCCCCATAGAGAAAAACAGCTAAGATGCTTATAAGAGCATGACTATGACTACAAAGTGATGCATGACTTAGTGGGAATAGGGGTGTGGGGGGCAATCGAGACTTTCTACCTGCAAAAAAGTTCTTTTTGGGGAAAGTCAACAGTAAATTAATCTCTCCCTTGCAAACCACTATCAAACCTGCTGTAAAATACAGACTTCTAATAGTGTGCCCATTTAGCCAAGTACTTAATCCATCAAATGACATAAATGCAGGCCTAATAAAGGAGACTACATACATGTCCATCTAGAGCCCAGTTGTCAATTTTAAACTTGTTGACAAAGATCTCCACTGGTCCTCGGATCTGATGGACCTGCAGCAACAGATGGGCCTCCTCTCTCTTGTAGGTACCTTCATGAGGACAGATAATCTCAGTGAGTGCACTAGTACAGGTTCAGAACCATTACAAACGATGTTAAGAGAACAGGGAGCAGAGTGTTAAGAGTGGTACAAGCCTGAGTAGTGAGCAAAGCAAGTAGGCATTAGCTTCCTGCTGTGGCATCACATGCGAGGGCCAGGTAATAGTGTATGTGCTGGAAGGTTAATGTTTGAGAGGAGGAAAACACTCACCAGCCAGATTGAGCTGCACTCCACTGTGGTCCATGAGGGTGCCATTGACCCGGTTGCTGAACGGTTCAAAAGCAGTTATGCTCAGCATGGCTGGTTGCTTCTTCCCAAGGTACTCATACGATCCCCTCCACAGAGAGTTCTTAGCAAACACTCCACTAGGCACTGGCAGAGAAACAGACAGAGGGAAAAGGAGAAACTGTATAACAATGTTTTATTTCATACATCTCAAATTTTTCACTCTATTCTGGAAGAGCTTTGTGAGTCTGAGACCTACCCTGAAGTTTCGTGTTGGGAGGCTCTTGCACAGTTCCAACTGTTTTTCCGCTTGGTCTGTTATCAGCTGTGAAAGAGAAAAGAGAGCGTAGGAGTGAGAGAGCATTACTAGCAGCAATGCAGTGCTTAATTATTACAGTTTAATGAGTAGTTTATTTGTTACTTAGATGAGTAATAGTGTATAAAGTACATAAAGCAAAGGTCACTGACAGTGAGCCTACTCATAACAACAGCACAGTATTTTCTGTGGAATCTGTATGTAATGTTGTATTGATCTAGTTTCAGGAGACTGCCATTAGCATCCTTACTCAGTATCAATGAGCCATAAATGAAACAGTCATTAATCTGATTACCAGAATCAACCAACTGCATCCAAGCAGAGTCATATCCCAGTGGTCACAGGACTAAACTTTGTAAGAAGAGAACTACACTCTCAGAAAAGTAGGTACAGTAGTACCTTGTCACTGAGATGGTGCCTTCAAAGTAGCAAACCACAGCTGTTAGAGCTAGGCCTTCAGTTCAGGCCATAAATCTCAAAACTCAGCCAAAAACTAGTTAAAAAAATAAAAAAACACCTCTATGATAACAATTTCTGCTAGCACTCCTGTCGGATTCTAGCATTACGTTGATATGTTGAGTGGTGATGAGCTAACTGCAATGGCGATTCTAGATTAAACATGAACATTTTAACCCTGAAGATGTTTAATTTGATACTTGTTACAGACATATTAACATATATTTTACCTTCTATGCTGCAGTTTTACAGTCACTTTCAATTAGGGGTCCTGGCATTGAGCTGCTGCTGCTGCTTTCCATTTCTAACAAGTACCTGGACTTGATTAAAGCACTGCTTGTAATCATAGTCAGTGACCTGTCTTGGACTTGCAGAAGGCCAAAAGTGAAATTTTTGTCTCCCAAAATTGGACACTGCCATTGTGTATCAACACGACTGGTTGATTACGTGGTCATTTGCTAATTACATTAGTGGTTAATCTTACATATTAGGGCTTCAGTCCAGCTCCTGAAATCTTAATCAATGGGAGAACTCACTTATATATCTAGATACGACAGAGAAAAAAACCCTATTTGGACAATTCCCCACTGAGTGTTTCACAAATTTAACCCTTTTGTTCCCCACAATACTTAACAATGTTATAAGAGTATTGATACAATACTTGAAAAGTTCAAATACAGCAAGTATGATGATTTTATTAAATAGAAGTAAACTAAAAATTACAGATTTCTCAGAAATCATTAGGCCTAGAAGGCCCAGAGGTGGCATCTTCACCTCTGCATCTTCAGTACTTATATATAATAACTGAACCGTATTCTGTTGCAATTATTATTTTTTTAGGATGCAATAACTTGACTTACAAATACGTATCACATCCTGAAAAAGTGAATGTAGTGTGCCATACAAAAAAAAACTAATTTCAGGTGCATAATTGGACCTTAAGGACTATTTTTGCACTTTTAAGGGTACATTAAATTTTTGGTTTAACTGAACTTAATTAATTAGCTGATAGAGCATAAGATTTTCTTGATCTGTTAATTTAATATTTTAAGGCAGCCAGTAACTAAAATTTAAGTTAAAACACCAACTTTTTACAGTGCATAAACAATTTCAACTGTCTTCCCTTCCCCACGTTCTATCTTCTAATTAACTCACTATTGAGTCATCGTAACTTTTTCCCCTTAAAATATGCTCTTCATGACAGCTGATTTATACACAGCATTAGTCAGAATGTTACTCTGCTGCAGCAAAGCTTTTTTTTCTAATTGCAGTAGGATGTATTGTACACACAGAGTGAAGACAGAGCTTTTATTAGCTGTCAGACGCCTGAACTCACTCTCCCTCAGCTTCCCCACAGGTGCTGTTAATATTCCTCCGCTGTGAAAAAGGCCAGCAGCACAGTCCTCTCCTCCATCTTTATAGCTTAGCTTTAAAAACTATCAGCGCCATATTTCACCCACTTCCAGCTCAAGATCCATCAAAACCGTAATTTGCAAGTACCACTCTGCTCCTCAAGGCACACTGCGAAATGACAATTGTTTGTGTGCTATTTTGATTCTTTTGTTCGCGTTAACAGCCATGTCTGCTGAATGGAATCCATTCATACGTCGTAGGATGTTTAGCACAATCTGTGCAGTCCAAAAGGCCATTTTCTCTAACCAAATCGCCGGCTTGCGCTGGGCTAATCAGGGCTGTACTAGTATGAAATTCCAATGATAGCATGATGAATTGAGCCCCCTGATCGCGCCAGCCTTTTGAGATGAAACAGGTGCATGCAGCAATTCATCAACATTAGCAGGAGAGAGAAGCACAAAATGTGGTAAATCTGAGCAATTAGCTATTTGATATTAAGGCAGATGTACAACTGCTGTGTTTGTGCAAGTGGCAGATGCATGTAAAAAATGAAGGAAAAAAGAAAAAACTCCCCAAAACTAACTTTTATTATGGAAACAATAGGGGATTTGTAAGTGTGCAGATGTTTTGCATGTCTGAAGCCACTGGGTATGTATACCTGCACATAGTGGTGGCTTGCCGGTCCAGCTGCCATCCGCTCTGCAGGTGCGGTGTTCAGAGCCCCCTGCCAGGTAGAAGCCAGGCTGACAGGTGTAGATGAGCGTGTAGCCCAGAGATGGCAGCTCTATGGCTCTGGCATCTGCCTGTGCTGGGAGCTCGGGCTGACTACAGTGATGAGCTGAGGGGAGGCGGGAAGGGAAGAGGAGAGGAGAGGAGAGGAGAGGAGAGGATAGAAGAGAAGAAAAGAGAAGAGAAGAGAAGAGAAGAGAAGAGAAGAGAAGAGAAGAGAGGTAAGCCTAAATGCACTCTGTACAGGGTTCAAGTAAAGTTCTATTGGAGTGACATATCTTGAATACAAAAATAGTTGTTCTGCATTATTCATCAACCGTGTGGGAAATACTTGCATAAAGCTAAGAGAGCAAAAGAAATCTCAAAACGAAGTAAAGTAGGGCACATTAAACGAAGGCAGCTTCATATCAGAGAACAAATTACTTACCAATGCACTCTGGCTGCATGCCACTCCAAGTGAGGTTGGGCAGGCAGGTCCGAGAGATGGAGCCAAGGAGCAGGTAGCCCTTTCTGCAGCTATAGAACACTGTGCTGCCAATCTGAAACAAAAAGGACCAATTTAATTTAAAACAGTACAAAGAACAGTTTCATCAGTATTTATTACTATTTTTAATAAAATATTTTAATACCTGATAGCCTTGAGTGTTGTTCTGATATCCAAACAGAGGAGTGCCAGGATCCACACAGCTGGTGTGACTGGGATCTAGAACATATTCCCCCAAGTACTCAATCACACTCACTTGTATCATGCCATATTTAAACCTGCAGCTGCCCACAAGGGCTGCATTACTCATAGTTAAAATGACTACACGCAATAAATATGACGTTCCAAATGTTTTCTGAAGTGCAATCAGACTAACATTTTGGGCCAAGTTTGCACAAAGTATGCCCAGTCCTGGACTAAAATACGTTTTAATTAATAATCCCCACTGTATAGCTGAATCTAAGACTAGGTGTAATCTATGTTCAGAAAACAAGCTCAGTGAGGCTGTTTACACCTTGTGTATTCAGCCTGTGTTTTTTTTGTGACTGGATTGTGTTCAGGTTTCAAATGAACAAATGAAAAGCCTGTAAATGCATCGTGGTCGGATTACAATTAGATCACTTAAACCACATTCGGAGGTGGACAGAAACGGATCATGATCACATTTTAACCCAAGTGCAATGAAATACATTTTCCATATCCGCATACAATTACATAAGTGTGTGTGTCTGTCGAGCACTAATTAGCAGGTGAGACGATAAACAAGGAAACGCAAGGCGGAGGATATGAGAAGCCAGAGTTATCCTCAGATGAAAAGCCTTCTTGCACTCTGAGTCGATGAAAGTGTCCAAGCCAAGCTTTTTGATTTGATTTGGTAATGAGGAAAAATTAAACAGAAGTAAAGGGAAATTATGTATGTACAATCGGATCTCAGCTGGTCACACTAGGGAGGCATTTTTGAAAGGTGGATTCTGGACAGAGTAAATCCAGATGTGATCTGGGCATGAAGTACTTGTTGTTTGCAAGGTGTAAACAATCTCAATATGTTTCACCATTAGTTTCAGATTTAGCAACACAAGCTGTGCCTGAATGATGTCTGTTCATCATTGTGCTTTAATTATCTGAATCACAAATCAGAATTATTGTTAAAAATAAGACTGGAGAAACTATCATCATATTAAGACATTAATAAAGCTTTGAAAAATTTGTACTAAAAAACTGAGAACACTGATAAAAGCAATGCACTGGATTTGCTCAATCCAAATGTATACATCATATCTACATGAATAAAACATATTACATCCATCACTTTACTTACTTTTGGCAATAATTGTGTGGTGATGTAATATATTTTGTTCATAAAGAAATTGGGTACACATTTTAATAAAATAAATGCATTCCTTTTTTTTCAGTGGGTTTTATTCTGGGCAAAAACTCAGCAGAAACTTAAATATCATCATAATTATAACTCTAACAGTGATGCAGGTGAATCATCAACTTCAGATCAGTGTTTCACGATTCACTGACACATTCTTAGACCTCTTCCCCTTACCTATACAGGATGGCTGGGTCCCACTCCAGGTTCCATCATACTGGCAGTATCTTCGCGTGGACCCAACCAGAACCAGTGGTGGAAAGCAGGAGAATGAGACGGAAGAGAGGTAAGTGAAGCCTCGGTCCTCACGCCGGCCCTGGGCTGGAATCCCTGGATCCCCACAGAACACAGCTGCAACAGAGAAAATGTTACATGGGATATAAACAGTGACTCCATACTATTACCTGGATGTAAGCAGAGACCCAGCTTTGTGCGATGCAAACAGACCGTGTGAAATAGATGCAGAGCTAATGTTCTGAATATTTTGTTGAGACTTACGGAAGCACTGTGGCTTTTCTCCGCTCCAGTTGCCGGAGCCCTGGCAGGTGAGGATGGTGGGCAGAGAGAGCTGATAGCCCTGGTTACAGGTGTAGCTAATGCTGGAACCCCACTGGAAGTCTGTCCCTACCACCTGCCCGTTAGGGATACTGGGTGGAGCTCCACAGACAATAGCTGCAAGAGAACACAGATGATAAAAAAATAAATAAAAACAGAGTGGCTGGAGAGTGAATCTCTTTAAATTTGAACCTTTCATTAGCTTGCATATTGCTCTGTAGACTTGCCTGCATGTAATATTACAATAAATAAAATAAAACAGCCAACAACAAAAAGTCTTTGATGTGTCTTTTGATGTAATATTAGTCTGTCTGTATGTTAACTGTGTTTTGTTTATTTGAATTGTTTATGATTTACATCAGTGCTCATGTATTACAGTTTAAATTTAGCCTGCTGGCAAATACTGCCACATTTACCTTTCAGTTCATTAGTGTGCATCGTTCCTGGTATATAAATAAAATTAAACGGGGTGCATGATTGAAATCAGCCAGCATCAGAATCTGATTTATTTATTTTTGGGTGGTCTGTTGTGATTTGATGATGTAAAAGCTGCATTTAGTCTGCAATTTTGCGAACATCAGCTAATGGGCAAATAAACTTTGCTGCCTGCTGCATTCAAAAGATCTTTGGTTAATAAACATTTGGCTGTAAAAAAAAAAAAAAAACTGGCATTGGAACTAGCTGTGAAAATGGGTGCTAGCTAGGGGTGGATGGTATGGAAAAGATATTATGTCACACTACTTAAAGACATTTTCATGAAACATTGTATGTATAATGATATACTGACAGACAGACACAGTGCATTACTGGTGCCAGATTTAAAAATTACCATCAAAACTCTGGATACAACGATTTTTATTCAACATCTCACCCACTGTACTGCACCAAATACAAGTTAGTGTTCTTTAAATACTGACGACATCTACAACATCCTCAGAAAAGAATACTGTTCATCACGATAACAAAATTCATCACTATAACAAAATTTACCATAATAATGATAATATTTTGTCATAATGCTGACTTCTAGTGCCAACCAAAAAATCAACGTAAAAGACAATGTAATCAGTTCCTGCTCATTTCTTTCCTATTTGGAGCATTGATCAGTCATTATTGTTTACCAAACCAAAAGTGGCTAGTCCTAGATATGGTTGGGTTTTAGAGCAGTATGACGAGAACTGTACCTTTGCACACAGGCTTGGTAATGTTCCAGGTGCGGTCCTTTGTGCAAATGAGAGTGGACGCACGGTCAGCATCCATGGTGAAGCCTGGAGAACATTGGAAGCTGACGGTGCGGCCATAGGTAAAGTCACTGCCCAGTCTGAGACCATTTGCAGGTACTCCTGGGTCCCCACAGTTAATAACTAGACATGGAAAAAGAAAGATAATATGATGACAAGCACAAATCACAACAAACAGTAGTACATTTTCCAAGCATGGCCAATATGGCTTCTTTGTGTGGAAGATAAAAAAGCAACAGAGAAAGTATTTCTCACTGAGAAGGTATGAAAAAGGAGAGCAAGATATTTTATCACACTAAACCTCATTAAATCTCACCACTGAAACCTCTAAATTAATGAACTGTTTTAGGAATCCTTTTTAATAGCCTCTTTTCCACTTTAGCACATTTCATCCCAATTTAACTCAAACAAAGGTAAATTTCACAATTCATAAAGTGTCAGCAGTTTAGACAGTAACCACTTTCTCTAGTCAGCACCACCAGATCCTGCTCTGTACAAGAGAAACCAACCAGAGTACCTGGAGCCATAATATCTGGCTGTGACCTCCATTAGCTCAAAGTTTGAGCTCTCTCCATTGTGTGTCATGAGCAAGGCTATGCACACTGGCTGATGCTAAGAGGAAGCACAGTGCTAATCTCTATATCGCTTCAGCGCAGGCGATGTAGGTGTCTCTGATCAGCTCACGCCCAGGGCTAGCAAAACAACACCATCCAAGGCTTCATCTGGACAAAGTCTTATTCATCCTCTGCCTATACGTTCTTTGAAAGCACAGCCACTGGGAGCTTTGCGGATGCATAATGTATGAAGACAGTGAGCTGTGAAACTGTGTCCTTATACAGCAGCTAAAGCCTTACCCGACCCCGCGCAGAGCTTTAAGAGCAGTAGTGGTGATGGTTAGATGGTACCTGTGCACTCAGGCATGTCTCCAGTCCAGGTTCCATTGACAGTGCAGTGGCGGGTGAGCAGGCCGGTGGAATAATAGCCCTCTCTACACGAGTACGTAATTGAGCGGGAGAAGACCAGGCCATCGTGGAATTGGATCTGAGCATTCCGAGGAGTGCCAGGATTGCCACAAGACACCACTGAGTGAGAAAATGAGAGAGAGAATTCGATTTTAATGTTATTTGTCATGTTGCAGTATTCTGTAGCTCAGCATACATCAGTTTGACAAGATTCACAAAACTATATCATTTTTATGTTTTTGTTCAACAACATACTCTCAATACCCAGCAGGCATTATGCAACATTATCATACAACCCTTAGGAACCTGTGGTGTCAACCAATCCTGATTGCTACCCTACCCACTTATTTACAGGCTAATAAATACCACCAAGCTAGAATTACTTAACTCTTACTTCAGTCGTAGAACAAAAGTATAAAGAAAACAATGACTCTATCTTTATTTAGCACCAAATGGAGGCCAGAAACAAGTTTTTTATCCTCCCTAAAAGTAGACTGAGGTAGGATAGCCAGCTACCTTGCTAACTTTAACTTTCTGCTTGTTATCCACCTTATTTGATGAATCATTTGTTTGAGTTGTACATTCTCGTGTTTTAAAGTAGGGTTACTACACTTGTGCAGCTGCAGTAAGATATTTGGCTTCCTAACATTAACACTGATTATCTTCCTCTCTTCTGCATTCACCAGCTAAAAAACAAATTAAGCACAAAATCTAACAACTTGCCACCAAAAATCCACCTCAAAGCGGCAGCAGATTTTCAGAAGTTCCTCCCACCTTCAAGATACCTGATCAGAAGCAGGTTTTCCTAATATTTAAACTGGAAAATTTCACTCCATCACTCAACAAAACGTGTTTTTTCAAGAGGTCTTTAGTAAAGATATTGGTTCTTCATAGTACCATGAACACTCAAAGAACCATTCACATGATTAAAGGGTTCTCTGAATCATGTAAGCGTTTTTCAGATTGATAGAGAATGTGTTGTATATGGTTCCATATGTAACCTTTTTAAAAGTTCTTTATAGCACCAAAGGGTTCTGCTTTTGTTATGATACAAGCTTATAACAATAGAAGAACGCTTTTTGGTGCTATATAGAACCTTTTTTTTAAACCACATTCTCCATCAATGTGAAGAACGCTTTAATGATGCAAAGTACCTGTTAATCATGTAAAGCGTTCTTTGAGTGTTCATGGTTCTACATAGAACCATTTTCTTTACTCAGGAATTCTTGAAGAACCATCTTTTTTAAGAGTGGAGACTCTAGAGACTACTGCATCACTGCTGTAAGATGCAAGTAATCATGTTTAACACATGCAGATCTTTTCATTTCTGCTTTAGATGCATAAAAGGTGACATTGATAATCAACGGCACAAGTATTTTCTGTAGAATTAGCAGGTTATACTGCCTGAGTTCAAACTGATCATTAAGCATCCTGAGTCAATATGAATGAGCCATTAGTGTCATGGTCATTAGGTTGATGACCTTAATCAGAACACTGTATTCAAGCAGGTTCTTTCCACAAAAAGTCACTGAAGTGGTTTCAAAGAAGTGACTTTTTGTGGAAAGAACCTGCTTAAGGAACAGTATGTTATAGTGAAAGCACCCTGAGGAATGGAGCTAGGTGAACATACATGGATTTGTGCAGGTGTGTCTGTGCATCCATGTGTAACAGAAATACTAGTTTTAAAAACCACACAGATCAACACACTGAGCCTCAGAGGTCTTTGGGAGATCAGGGGCATAAATGTAGCAGGAATGTAAATGACTAATGGGAGATGAACCCTGCTTTAACCTTTATTTAATCACGGTAGTGCCACTGAGCAAAGCCTGCTCTTTCCCAAGGCTACAGTGCTGGAGGTAGAGGAAGGGCAGAAAGGACCGCCGTGTAGCTGTGGAGCATGCTGGGGGTTAAGAGCCCTGCTCAAGGGCACAAAGGCAGCGGTCAGAGAAAGGGCAGGGACTTCACAAATCCTCTGCTATCGAGTCAATATCCCTAGTGCCCCAAGTGTGATTAAAGCTAGTAGCTCTGCTGTGAGGCCTTAACCCACTAAGCTGGTACCAGCCATTTGCCATAGCTGTTCCTTAATTTGGCTTTTAATTAGTATGAAGTGTTATTATATCCTATTATATTAATTAACCATTTCTTGCCAATGAAGAAAAACAGCTATAATTGCATTTTAATCTACTCTTTTTCTTTAATTACATGATTTTTCATTGATGCTGTTGCATACTTGAAAAAAAGCTGAACATCTGTAAAATATATGTTTTATTTGTGTCACAAACTACTAGTTGAGCATTCAAACATGAACAGGAATATATTTCACACTTCAGTCACCTTCAAATCATTATTAAGCTCTTAGAGATCTGAATGTGTGCATATGCTCGCTCAGTACATCCAACAATAAGGGCAACAAAACGGTGCCTCCTTTACACAGTGGTGGTAGCATTGCAGACTTTAACGAGTTAAAGGGGAAACGTTAAAGCCTGAATGTATTAACAATGATACATAAGGAAAGACTTCTGCAGGCCTGCGACTTGGATATTTTTAATTAGTATAATCAAATAAAATTTTTTCCTTATAACGCTGTCATCAGATTAACTGGACACTGTCGACCCCAATATTGTGCTATGTTTACATGCAAAGATTTTTGCCAGTCCGACTGAATACATTCTGATTACAGATTAAGACTGAGGTGTTTATATGCTCACTCTACTCAACAATCTCATGGAAAATCTTTGTTTACACGCTCACTACAAGTAATCCCATCCAAAATGACACACATGCGTGGAGTACCACTTAGAGTAAGATGTCAGAGTGAGATGAGTTTTCAGGTGACGCACTTGTGTTTTTAATTGGGTTAAAATTATGTCAGACTCAGAAAAAATGTACTTCACATGTACTTATTAAAGAAGGCGAGAGGAACATGTCGTGCTCTGAGACACATTAGCTGGACGCCCGTCCCACCACCGTCTTTTAAAGTTCAAAGCATAAACTTCGTCTCCTCTGCAAACCAGTTTCTGGTCCTGCCATGTTGAACGTTATAAACTTATGTTATTATGCAAACGTACATGCACAGAATGTACTTACACGTTCCAATTGGAAATGTAATCAGATACAGGCGTTTATACGGCTATTATTCTTCTATTTAATGGATTATTTACAGGATTACCCACCTAGACTATTCTGATTGAAGTGTGTACATGGACGTGTTCTATTGCGATTGAGCTGTTAGTCGGATTATTACGTGGCTACTGTGTTAAGCTGCTAGTGAGCAATGAGGAGTGAGGAGGGAGGGGTGAGAACCCCTTGCCAAGATAAAACGAAGAGCTTATGTGTACAACTGTGTACAACACAATAAAAAAATGGCATTTACGCACAATAAAAATGTGTTTTTCAAAAAATGTTGACTGCTCAACAACAAAGACGAGAATCCAGGTCGCTTCCAGTTTTGTACGTCATTTACAGTTCAATCGAAATATGTTCCACCATAGTTTAACTGAACAACCTTCTCCAAAACAGGCAGAATGCGCATTTTTTAGCTATTGTGCAAAAGGGATAAGAAGGCTCCCTCTTGCCCAAGTGAAGTCTGGCTCAGCTTACATCTGCATCTACTTCAGTACAGAACACCTTACACACACACTTGTGCTGCAACTAACTTGGGTAGACATTAGAGCTCTCCATTTTACTAAGATATTAAATGCTTTCAGTTTGTGCCATTTCTCTCATTTCTCACACTAATAAATAAAGCCATTAAAGCAAAAACAAGTTTAGTGCCTAACATACTTTTGCTTCACATATGCTCATTTCTAAAGACACTAACAATGAACTGATCTCTGTCTCCTGAAGAGCTGTCCATCTTAATTACATACGGAATGGATTTTTATAGCTAACCAACCTCTGAGTTTGTGCCATTCCTCCTATTTCTCCTATTTGTAAATAAAGCCTAACAAAAAACAGGTTTACACCCTGACTTTCTTCTTTATATGCACATTTCTAAAGACACTAACAAGGGACTGATCTCACCTTAGTCCTTAAGACTACATGCTGGTAAGTAGTACTTAGAATGTAAATGAATGATTGGAAGCTTAGTTTGTTATCGATTTGTTCTTTTTAAATGTACACAGGACTCCACTACTGCACTGTCACTGCTGTAAGACTTGGATGCACTGGTGTGGATTACAGTGGCCTGAGAATTAAATCAATATCAAGGTATACACATGTATAGTAATGTCCACACTTGAGCACATGCATGTATTTGCACTAGCCTGTAACTTTGCAGGCACAAATAAGTAAAGGAAGAGAAGGCATGCAGATGTTAGATATTCAGTATATGTGAATTTTCAAGAGAGAAGCTTTCGGCCATTCCTTCAAATAAAGGAAAGAGTTAAAGCGGAGAGAGAGTGAGGGTGAGAGAGAGGAGAGAGAAATGGCAGCCATGTCCCCACGGGTAATTAACCTGGGTATTTCTGCTCTTCTGACAACCCTTTCTCTGCAGGCGCTTTACCCAGAGGGACATGAGTGGAATAGCAATGCAGGGAGAGCGAGAGAGAGCAGGACGAACTGGAGAGAGAGTGGGAGAGAAAGAGAGAGAGAGAGAGAGAGAGAGAGAGAGAGAGAGAGAGAGAGTAAGAGAGATTCTGAGGTGGAGGAGGGGAGAGAAGGGAAGGAAGACAGAAGGGTGGGTGAGAGAGAGAAAGAGACAGCATGTAAGAGAGAAATACAGAGAAAGAGGGAGAGGAAGAAAGAGAGTAAGTGTGACAGAGAGAGAGAAGAGAGGATACAAGAGACAGAAAGAGTAAGAGAAAGTGAGAGATAGGGAGAGGAAGATAGAGAAAGAGAGAAAGAGCAAGAGTGAAAACGAGTGAGAAACAGAAGTAAAGAGGACAGACAATGAGTTAAAGGAAAGATAAAGGAGAGGAAGAAAGAAAGAGAGGGAAGCAGAAAGGGACAGAGGAGAGAGAGAAAGAGGGAGTTGAGAAGAAGAGAGAAAGAAAGAAAGAAAGAAAGAAAGAAAGATTAGAGAAAAGGAGTAAAAAAGAGATGGAGAGGAATAAAGAGAGGGTGAGAGAGAGAGAGAGAGAGAGAGAGAGAGAGAGAGAGAGAGAGACCGAGAGAGTTAAAGAAAAGTAGAAAGTAAGAAAGAGGGAAAGAGAAAGAAAGAGTAAGAGAGTGACAGAGACTGAAGAAGAGAGGACAGACAAAAGAGAAACAGAGAGGAGAGAGAGAGAGAGAGAGATAGAGAGAGAAAGTCAAAGTGAGAGAGACAAAAGAAGAGAAGACAGAAGATTGAAAGACAAAGACAGAGGGATAGAATAGACAAAAGAGATAGATAGAAAGACAGATAGATAGAGAGAGAAAGTCAAAGTGAGAGAGACAAAAGAAGAGAAGACAGAAGAATGAAAGACAAAGACAGAGGGATAGAATAGACAAAAGAGATAGACAGATAGAAAGATAGATAGATAGATAGAGAGAGAGAGAGAGAGAGAGAGAGAGAGAGAGAGAGAGAGACAAAGAGCAGTGAGGTGTGTAAGAGACCAGGGATGGGGGGGGTGTCCATCACACGTCTTTGGGATTCGCACTGCAGCGAGTTGAGTTAGTGAGGAGGAAAAAAGGGAAAACAAGCAGAGGAGAGTAAAACATGTGTACAACCCCAGGTGATACTGCACCACTGGAAAAACTACAGTAAAGCTTCTGAGGCTGAGTGCATAACACAGGGGGAGAAGAAACACTCTCCTGCTCTCTCTTTCCTCCGTCTGTATTTGTGTGAAGTTTGGAGTGAGGGAATAAGTCCCTGGCTGAGACATTAGCATAGTGTGTTTAATCTCAGAAGACGCAGAGTGTTTCCGCTGCTGCTGTGATGAATCACACAGTCACACTGGCCTGTTCCCTGCAGCACTGCTGCTCCAGCTCACACTCACCCTGGCACTCGGGCTGTGTGCCCAGCCAGGTGCTGTTGGGCAGGCAGGTGCGCTCTGAGGACCCCCGCAGCACGTAGCCTGGCTCACAGCTGAAGCGAACCACACTGCCTGAGGAGAACTCCTCGCCCAGACGGATCCCATGCACCGGTATACCAGGGTCTCCACATCTACCCGCAGAATCACCTGAAACAACACACACACACACACATATATATCAGCATCTAAAAGGCAAAAAAGACCCTTATTCAGACCCATATATGGCTGTGCAGAATAATTTGGAGTATTTACTGAATAATAAGCCTTAAAGTAGCCATACATGTGTAAATGAAGGCATTCACGAATAATCTATAAAACAGAACTGAACAATAAATTGTTAAATGTTTTTATTACATCATTTTCACTCCCAAGACACTATCAAAATCACCTAGGGGCACCTCTACAGCTTTACCCTCATAAAGACTGCAGACACATGAATATGCGTGGTTATGCAAATTGGAAACATCCCATGTCCTCCAACCATTCCAACCCTACTTCTTCCCCCCACTACGCTGGTTACACTCAGTGATGGATAACTCTGGGTTTACTGGAGTAGATTCCTCATACTAGCTGGAGTCAATGGAGTTGACTCCTTGACTACACTTTTCTTTAGAGACAACGTATGTCTTGTACTTTACCTCTCTGGAGTTGCTAGATATCACAATGATGTGATGAAAATTCATAATTATACCAAGTGTCAGACAAATTTAGGTTCTAGTAGTTTTGAGCTGGAGTTCTTATGTGTCAGCAAGCTGGGATGCTGTTGTAAACTGCATCCCAGCTTGACTTTACTCCCTATCACTAGTTATAAAAAATGCTATTACCTCTTTCAGGGATACAGGAAGGTGTTTTAAGTTGGGAGCGCTTACATTTTTAGCAGTATGTAGGTCACCTACATCCTCACAACAAGCTAAACACTATGCGTTTTTATTTTTTATTTGAATTGGATAATTTGCATTTAAATGTATCTTAACATGCAAGATTGTAGTGAGAGGCGATGATACACAGATGTGCACATATAACCAAAACAACAACCACTAATGCACATTTAATGGTCTTTGCTCTCTCTTGCTGTATGAACTTTGTGCAAATGAGCACTGACCAATCACACTGTTGACATGAGGTGAGGTGTCATACCCAAAGCAAAGCTACACCAGAGATGTTATAAAGGAGGGGACAGGTCTCCGGTTGAAATATGAATAGAAAAGCTTGTAATGCTCATTATGGTGTCTATTTATGAAGGAAGTCCCACCCTCCGATCAAGTAGGCTAATCAGCTTGCTGTTTAAGCCACAAGAGGGAAAGCCCCGTCTCCTTGTGGAGATCTGTGCGTGTGCAGTGGCCAGAAAAGGCAAAAAAAATTTGGTTTTTGTGTGTTATTTGACCCAAAAGCTACAAACTCTTCACGCTGTTATTTTCAGATTTTACCGGTTAGGTTCTATGTAGAACTATATACAATACCAAGAAGAAACATTTTACCATGCAAAGAACCTTTACTCATTCTTTGAGTGTTATACATTTTCTTTACTAAAGAACCATCATTTTTAAGAGTGTAGACATTGAGACTCCTGGATTTTCTATCTCAAACTCAAAAGTTCAGCTTTTTTGTTACTTTTCTGCTATTATTTTTAGCAGTTGCAGTGAAACAATCCTAAAATCTATGAGTGCTGCAGCCCCCTGAACACCCCTACTTCCAGTGTCCCACATCTTTGATGTACTACTCTATTAAAAATGGATAAAGGCCACTTTGGAGAAGTGCAGTCTTATATGTTTGAACCTCAGACTGACTAGTACACCTTCAACAAAACTAAGGACTTGTTGATGGATCAGAGTGATAAGTTATTAACCAGTATTTACTTTTTTGATATTGCTCACTGCTAATGTACAACTGTACTTTAATACTGTTATTAACATTAGCAACAGTGAGCTGGTTAGCTAGTTAACTCCTGGTAAAACAGGCTCACATTTGTCATGTATACATGAGGGATTTTTTTGGACAATATGTATCCTAAATATGCACAATGTGCCCTGTTCACTGCACTGTCCAAACACTGTTAACATTAGCATATGCTTAAAATTTCCAGGTGTCAAGTGATTTTCTTCGTATTATTTTTTAGTATAGTAGACGATGCTGAGTTCAAGTTTATTTCGTAGCATAAAAAAGAGGTCAAATGCATCATTTTTACCATTCTCCACTGAGAAGTACTTAGCACGTCTCAAATGAAAAATGGGGGTCTCCAAGGTTAATAACTGAATGATAAACCTAGTTGAGGGGTTAAAAAAATTTAGAGGTGCGAGTGATACCAAAGGGGGTATCAGGTGTCTAATGAAAGTGCTCTCTAAATAGAGGTCAAAATGTACAAAAATGAATTACTATGGCATTCTTCTAGAAATTAATGAATTTTTTTGTCCCGATTCACTTCAAATAAGATCAGAACTTTTCTCTAAATTAACTTTTTATATTTGTTTCCAACACGTCCCCACACGCATACATAGAAATAACACTATTAACTCCAACAGAGCTCAGAATCAGTTCATCTAACACTGAGTAAACAATAAAAACAGTGTGAATAATTAGATTGCCGTTTTACAGTATCTCTCTGAGGTGGCCATTCTCATATACTAATGAGGTGAGAATTAAGACGGATCTGGGAGACTTGAGTCAGGTGATAATAGACTCTGGATAAGAATGCAATGGGGACAGCAAATTTCCTTCCTTTCATCTGTTCATAATATAAACGCGTCTGCTGCTCTCTGCTGATGAATTTACAAATGATCTCCTCAGTCCTTCATCTAGCCGCCTGGCACTGCAACACAAACAGCCACAAATCCTGGATGTCTCTTTTAAAATTAAGCAAATATTTAGAGATGCCAGTAATTTCTACTTCCTTGGTCCAAAGCTCATAGTTTGGAATTGATATTTATCCCACTGAGATCAGCGCGCTCTGCAATAAAGCGGCCAACGCGTACCCTGGGAGCAGAGACAGAGAGGGAAAGCTGCAGTTTTTGAGAAATATGAATGTCATGAATTGTGACATTAACCTGTCAGTGTGGTTTTACTGCCATGAGGCTGTGTTCCTGCATATCTGAGGGCTGCGAGGGGCTGATGGCTTTATAGTGAAGCTGGCCAGCTCATAACCTGGCAGGTGTGTGGGAGTTCATGTAGCAGGGGCTGATATGGGGAGATTAAAGCAGTTTATGGAGGGACAGAGCGCTTGCCCTTCAGGCCCACGCTCACATAGCTGTATCACTGGCCACTGATCTCTACTGAAGGCCCACAGCTGCTGATTCATCCCCAGCCTCGCAGAGGCCTTCTACCACACTTACAGAGTCCCTTGAGATAGATCGATTAAACTCTAGATGTCTACAGTCAATGCTGTCGCTTCTGTGATATTGGTGATATTTTATTGTTAATTGCATTGGAATTCTAGACTCTGGCACCTGTGGGCAGCGTTTTTTGGTAGTGTGTATTTGTGTGGTGAGGGGGGGTTAGTCACTCTAGGTACCAGTGCAGTGTGGTGGGGAGCCACTCCATTGGCCGTCCAGCTGGCACATGCGGGTGGTGTTGCCTACGATGGAGCGCTGGCCCATACAGCTGTAGCGGATCACTGAACCCACTGTGCGCCTATCCCCCGAGATCTGAGCATACGGAGGCATACTGGGATGATCACACAGCACCACTGCTCAGAAACAGCAGGAGAGAGGCAGAGAGACAGGGAGAGAGAGAGAGAAAGACAGAGAGAGAGAGAGAGAGAGAGAGAGAGTGAGTGAGAGAGAGAGAGAGAGAGAGAGAGAGAGAGATGCAGAAGAAAAGCTACTTTAAACACTTCTGACTTTTCATATGACAGAATGTTGAAAACCTACGAACATCTTCATATCTTTTGGCTAATTACAAACATTTTACCAAGTAGTACATTGCCCATCAAAAGTCTGGGGACAAATCTAATTTTTCAACGTTTTTTATTTTGTTCGTTTGGAAAAAGTTAACATATTAAAGACTAATCAGGTTCACTTTGAGGAAAACAACATCACGCATGGTGAGCATGCCAGTATTTGTGACTACCTCAGGAATAATGCTAAACCCTGACGCATTTTATGCGCTTGTTGTAATGTCAGCACTCATCAGCACTCAAACCTGTCAGGTATTTAAATCACCTTTGGGCCAAAAGAGCATGCTTTTAAAAATAGAAAACCGTCAAATCTTTATTTAGGCAAAACCAACTCTTCACAGCAAGGAAGACACTTTAATGAACATGAAGCTGAGTGTTGCAAAATATAAAAAAGCAAAGTAACCGCAAGAAATTTAAAATTGCAAAAGTGCCTGCAAAGTGCCTGTAAACTTTTAATAGGCAGTGTAATACAATTTTTCAGGCAGAAGTTACACTGCTGTGAAAAAGTATTTGCCCCTCACCGGCATTCTTCTATTTTTGCTACTTTGTCACATTTAAATGTTTCAGATTATCAAATTAATTTTAATATAATATAAATACAACATGAATAAACACCAAATGCAGCTTTTAAATGATCGTTCCATTGATTGGAGATAAAGATTTATTCAAAACCTATATCTCCCATATGGAAATATAACTGCCCCCTAAACCTAATAAGTGTTTGTGCCACCCTTAGCAGTAACAACTGCAATGATGCCATGAGTCTTTTGCATCACTGTGGAGGAATTGTGGCCCACTCTTCTTTGCAGAATTGTTTTAATTTGGCTACACTGAAGAGTTTTTTTTAGCACAAACTGCCCATTTAAGGTCTTGCCACAGCATTTCAATGAGATTCTTTGGATCACTGTTCTACTGCATAACCCAACTGCACTTGAGCTTTCGGTCACAAACTGACAGGCAGATATTCTCCTTCATGATTTTCTGAAAGAGAGCAGAGTTTATGGTTCCATCAATTATGACAAGTTGTTCAGGTTCTGCAGAAGCAAAGCAGCTCCACACCATCACACTACCTCCACCATGTTTGACTGTGGGTATGACGTTCTTATGGTTGAATGCAGTGTTATCTTTACGCCAGATGTAATGGGACCCATGTCTTCCAAAAAGTTCCACCTTTGACTCATCAGTGCACAGAATATTATCTCAAAAGTCTTGGGGTTCATCTAGATGTTTTTCGGGAAATGTGAGACGAGTCTTTGTGTTCTTTTTGGTCAGCAGTGTTTTGGGCCTTGCTGCTCTCCCTTGGATGCCATTTTTGCCCAGTGTCTTTCCTATTGTGAAATCATGTACAGTGAATTTAACTGAGGCAAGTGAGGCCTGCAGTTCTTTAGATATTAGTCTGGGTTCTTTTGTGACCTCCTGGATGAGTCATCAATGCGCTCTTGGTGGATTTATTTTAGGCCAGTCACTCCTGGGAAGGTTCACCACTGTTCCAAGTTTCCACCATCTATAGATAATGGCTCTCACTGTGATTAGCTGGAGTCTCAGAGCCTTAGCTATGGCTTTGTAACCCTTTCCAGACTGGTAGATTTCAATGACTTTGTTTTGCACCTGTATTTGAATCTCTTTAGAATGCAGCATCATGAACTGCTTTTTGAGACTTTCTAGCCTGCTTTATACTGCCAAACATGTTCTATTTAAGTGATGTTTAGGTTCAACAGGTCTGACAGTAATCATGCCTGGGTGTGGCCCATGAAACCAAACCCAACAGTCAAATGAATCTGGTTGACTTAGTAGCGAAGGGGGCAATTTCTTTTTCAAATAGGGCCAGGAAGTGCTAAACAGCAGTTTCTTTCAATAAATCAAATTATTATTTAAAAACAGCAGGTGTTTACTTGAGTTATATTTGTCTAATATTGAAAGTAGTTCGATGATCTGAAACCTTCACGTGTGACAAATATGCAAAAATAGAAGAAATTGGGAAGGGACAAATACTTTTTCACAGCACTATAAGTGCTTCTTGGAGAAAGTGTTTCTTACAGAGGCATTTGGGGAGAGAGCGGTCCCAGGTGCCATCTCCCTGGCAGGTCAGAATGCTGGTGCCCAGCAGGTAGTATCCTGGGTTACATGTGTAGGAGACGGTTGTCTGGAAGCTGTAGCGATGGGGTCCGCTGGGCAGGACCTGTCTGACACTGTTCTCCACATGGCCTGGCTCAGTGCAGTTCACAACTGAGGATAAAAATAGCACAAATGCATTTGTATACAAACAACAGTCCCCCATAACCCAAAAACCCACATTCTATGAACAACTTACAGATACACCTTGTATTATTCATAATGTGTTCTATGCTGTGTTAAGGTTTGTTCCTCATTTTGGTTGTTTATAATCATCAATAAATGCAAAAGGCTCTGGCTGATATTGTCTTCTGCACTTCATGTCATGTGTCTGCACTTTGTATTGCAGTTGTTGGGGCACCATCACCATCATCAGTGTGTCATCTCTTGAGTGGGAGTATTAACAATCAGGCTCTGTTCTGGATTGAAGAACAGTACAGACTGCCATGTATTTCCTTTCATGTACCAACGAGGAACCTTGAGCACCTAAGAGTACACCTATTACCTATAAGGTATAAGTGTATGGGGGCTCTTGTGAGCCTTAGACCCCAACAATCCACATTATGTAACAAAGTTTGGGTAATGCAAAACATGCCCATACACTCAATCCATTGCCTTTAATGTCATAAAATGTATGGCTGAGTGGGGTATATAGATGGTGTACATGCTTGTGGCCATCAGAAAGGTCTCTGGAATTGGCTGCTTTTCTCCATGCATGTCAAATAAAAAATCATATTGGTTGAACCTTCAACCTATGTCTGAGTTTGAAGTTGTATGAAGTTTGGATACCCCTGGTCAACTTATGTGTTTTGTTGATTTTCTAAGTGAAAATAGCACCCTATATAGATAACAAATGTAAATAGAGCAATTCCTCACAGTTCTGCCATTACTTTGATATAATCAGAACAAATCTCAGTAACTGTAACTTTTGCCATATTAATGCCATACACAGACAGGAGAAAACAGGCAATATTTTTCTACTCTACATGTGAGAATTGGCTTCTAAATTAATGCACACTTCTGCGTTGTGGCATGCCTTGTTGCAGCTTAAACAAACAGACATTTTCACTGATTTCAATCACAGGTGAGAGTTTTGTTTTACAGGAGGGTTATTAAATTACATGAACAATATAAAACTGTAAACTCATGATCAGTGATGCAGTTATTTCCATGGGAAGTAAAATTTTCATCCAAATAAAAAGTGGGGGAGCAAATAGGTAGGTAGGTAGGTAGGTAGATAGATAGATAGACAGATAGACAGACAGATAGATAGATAGATAGATACATAGATAGATAGATACATAGATAGATAGATAGATAGATAGATAGATAGATATTTGATTGATTCCGAAGGAAATTTAGCAGCCAGTAGCCAGTCACACAACACAGCACAGTTATAATAATAAGGGTGGTACAATATAAAAAGAAGAATGTACAGGCTCAGTGAAATTGTCAACTATAAATAATACTGTACTATAAACTATAAACAAATCTATCTCACCTATTACAAAAAGGCAGGGATATATACAAAAACCTATCTACAGGCATATATACAACTAGAAATGAGGGGTGCGACGATTATTCGTCTTAGTCGACTAAAATCGACCACCAAATTAGTTGGCAAATAATTTAGTAGTTGATTAGTTGGTGACGTCAGTACGCGTCTTTCTCGTGCTCACTAGGAACATTTTGACATTAGCGCTCACTGGAGACTTAACAACAGCGCGATGGCAGCCTCAAGAACAAAATCCTCAAAAGTGTGGAGCTAAACTCAGAAAAAAAGGTTGTCAGTTGTGCTATTTGTAAAGCTTAGCCTAGCTCTTAGCTGGCACGGGAGCACATCCTCCATGTTGGAGCATCTGAAGAGGAAACTCGTCGGCTCACTGGATGAAGAAGATTCATCTGGGTAAGATACGCCGCGTCCCAAACCGCATACTAGCTCACTAAATAGTGTGTAAAAATAGCGCATATACCATTACAAATGCACCCATTAGTGTAGTACGTGAAGTACAGAAGTGTGTGGTTTGGGGCGCGGCGATAGTTGTGCTAGCGAGCTAGTTAGCTAGTGCTAATGTTAAATTCCGTCCTACTTCATGTTTTGAGCTGAGCTGTAACATTTTTCGAACACTTTCGAAATGCTGTTCTAAGGAATCGTTAATGGAGTTGGAACAGAGAAACAAGTAACGGTTATTCACAGCGACACTGTTCACTTCCCAGATAACGTTTACACTTTTAAACACTGCATTGTTGTCTTAATGCCGAGGCCGCCGGTGCGTTCAAATTCGGCGAACACAGGAGAGCGATTACAAACAGGTTTCTGTTCCCCGCGAACGTTGGCCACCACTCTCAAACAGTTTCAGGAGGTAGTTCTTTTCGCACATACAGGGTAGCTGGACAAGGGGTTACCATTGAAATGAAATGTTTACACAAAGTCAGTCAAATTTAACTGTGTACACAACAAGTTTGCCACAAACGTTCTCCACTTTCCCATCGGTTCCATCAGAGCGCATCTCTGCAGCGGGAGCGCGAGTCTCTCACAAGAGCATGCAGAGATACTGATTTTCCTCCGTTTCCATAAAGACTTGTGATTGTAGACTTTAGTTTCAGCAAAATGTAGACGGACAGCAGAATGCACACAGCACAGACTGCACTGTTAAAATTTAAAATTTAAATTTAGATTATTCATCTTTATTGTCTTCATTGTTGGTTAGCAAATGCATAAAACAACCTCAAGCTAAATTTAAAAACTAATAAAATTCATAATCCGAATAATCTATTAATCGTTTCAGTAATGAATAGATTGTTTGATTATCAAATTAGTTGTTTGTTGCAGCCCTACTAGAAATACAGAAAAATATGCAACAAGATCTATCCTGAGATAAAAAAGGCAGTGCAATAATAAATGTGAAATGTGGATGTTTGTTATAGTAGTTATAGGAGTGGATGTTTGCTCCCCCCTCTAACAAAAGTGGGCTTACACATGCTTTTTAGTTCTGTAGTCCGTCTGCTTCCCTGTACAATTTGTTTCCCCCCCTTTTACCCTGTTTTTCAAGGGTCAGAACCAATAGAGGACCACCACAGAGCAGGTATTATTTGGGTTCTGGATCAGCAATGCTGCTGGAAGTTTTGCAAAGTATACAGAGAAACAGATGGACTACAGTCCCAAATTGTAGAACTACAGAGTATATTATGGTAAGTATGGTAAGTTATCTGTGAGGATATTCTTTACATGGCAATCGAAAAAAAATAAACCCCCAATGTACAGCTAGACACATGAGTGTATGAGCACACATGCACCAACACAAACACACAACACCTTCAGCAACCTTATCTTGAATATTTGTCATTAAAAAAATGAAAGTTTGAAGTCTGTATGCAGCGGAGTGATGGATGGGTAGCCTAGTGGAATGGAGAGGAGGCAAAGCTGGAGAGGAGAACGTCTGTCAGTTCACAACCAAGAGAATGAAAGAGAGCACACTTGAGTGAGATGGAGAACTGGAGGCAGGAATTAGCAGCATGCTTGTCCCTAATCAATCCATGTTCCATACCCACACCCATCTCAAAGTCCCCCCTTTCAGATCCCAACTGTGCCACATCAGATGGCATCAGGCGAGCGCCCCGATCAATCTGGCATACGAGACGGACGCAGGGGAGGATGTGGAAGAGCGGGGTGCGAAACAAGCCCCGGCGGTGCAGCCGCCATTAAAATTCATGACAGATGTTATCAATAAGCCATCCGTCCTGCACTTGCACATGGGTGGAGGGGGGTACACTCAAGCTATTTATACTGCATTGACATGATGATGGAGACGTGAGCGGTGGGAGACAGATGGGACAGGTTGGAGAGGGGGACGCCCTTCCGCTGAGCGGCTAACAGCCTGCTGGGGTGGCGCACTTCGGGCACTGGCGCCACTCTACCTCCTCACACAGCCCGGTGATTTATTCACCACTTTCAGCCACTTTCACTACTTCAGCTCATGTTGCCACCCACTAATCATGAAATGGATAGCGGAAGTGAGGGCATTTATTTCTGTTAGCTTACACAGTCTGCAGTGCTGAAGCTGGATGGCAGGTTGTGCCATGAACGTAAGTGCTGAAATGAATGGTGAGCACTTTAAAGATTTACTACAGTGAATATGACATAAATCCATAAACATGACTTGCATCGTCACTGTCGTAAGAAAATCCTGTATCTCAGAAAGAAAGTGCAGCTAAGAGAAGGCAAAAAATTTACTAACCTTAAAGGACACTGGCTAAAATTAAGCATTTAACCATTGCTACATGGTTAGCTAATATTAAGTTTGTGAGTTTGGACTGTGCCTTCAACATGTGATGGTAGCATGAGGGAAGACTGATTGACGAAGGGGGACAACTCTGAGATCTTGGGCTGGAGTTCTGGGCAGCTTCTCCTTGTAGCTAGAAGGCCAGACCCCTCATAGCTGTGGTAGAACTGACATAAGACAGGGAGGGGATGGGGTAGTGGTGGGGATTATGAACACTTCATCGCAGGAATGGAAGGTGAGGAACTGAATTTATAGGGCGATAGATTGGAAGAAGGAGGGTTTCATGCATATTCCGTCCCTCAAACTTTAGTTATAACATAACTACATCAAACAAGTAACAACTGCATTAGTTAATGTTTTCATTAAGTGATGCCTAACATTAACTATTGGATTGTTGACATTAAAAACCCTTTAAATGCTACATTAATAATGGTAAGCTAATAATATTAAGACTTATACTCCTCTGTTTACTCAGTTCCATCCAAAAATCATCATAATAGAGGATGGATTACTGAGATGACTTGCCAGATGTGTAGGAGAACAAGCTAAAAGTTAAAGCTATCTGGATATCTCACTTCAGTCTGGGTTTTTTTCTATTATATTCTATGTTCTATGATATTCTATGGCTCAATGTCTCTGGCATCCATTTTAGACAGAGTCACAGTTATAGTTTTCTTTATGATGTGGTTGACAACTGAGGGAAGAGTTACACTAATGCAAGCTTGGTTGTATTTATTAGCCCACAAATCTATAATCAGTCTTGCAGTCAGGGGTAGTTGACACCACAGGGATTCTCAAAGGCAATGTCATGTATTTGTGTAATGTACTGTAGTGAGAGAACATTGATGAAGAAAAACATGAAAACAACATAAATTCACAGATTCTGTCAAACAGATGAGGCTAAGAGATTCTGCACTACAGCAAACTGCAAAACAACACATAACATGTTAACCCCTTAAATGGCCAGGGCCCACCAGCAGGCCCAGAGATTTATTAAACACTTCTATAACCCATGAATAGCTCTGCGAGTTTGCATTAAAGTCCCTGTAGATGCTGAATAATAAGCCCTAGTATATAATAAGCCTGGGATTTTAGGGGTTAGAAGATTTGTAGTTGTACTAGGCATTCATGTCCTATAAATATTTCACTGCTGTTTAGCTGGTGTATTTTGTCTGTTCCAACTTGCAAACTTCAGAACAACTGAATATTGTTATAAATATTGTACATGGTAAAAATATCTTTAAGCATCATAATGTTACATCTTTGACATATCGGCCACCCTTGGTTCATACAATGCACAGGGCAACTGCCATTTTCAAATGGTGAAAAGTAAAAAGAGAAAAATCCTAAAAATATGGACTTAATAGTGTTCTATTATTGTCTGTTTGTTGGCTAATAACTGACTGAAAGTTTCCCTGAGGAGAAGTTCTCAGCTACTACGTGGAATATGCTGGATATATATGCCAGCATTGAAGGGCCAACTTCTGAACAATCCTGCATTCTGTAGACTTGAAATGAACTTAATGCATAAAAAATCTTCAAATGTTTCCTGAATTGCCTGCTAAAGAGAAAGCCAAAGCACTTCAATCATCCTCAATTCCAATAACAACGTTGGCATGTCCAATGTAATCACAATGCATCAACAGACCATTAGCACATTCATTAAATGAGCCAATGCTCATCAGGATCTAAGAGAGTGATGATATAGTTAGATGTAGATAGACAGATAGATAGATAGATAGATAGATAGATAGATAGAGAAGGGAGAAAGGGAAAGGGGGAGGGGGAGAGAGAGAATCCAAATAAAGAGAAAATAGATCCAATTTATCTGATCTAGAACACAATTGGACATTAGGCTCGTTTCAACCTCTGGCCACTGGCCATTCGGTAGGGAAGATGGATCATTTTCTGGCCTGGCCATAGACTTATCAGTGTGGTTTTAGGAGGCCATTTTGAAGAAGGTAGTGGCTTGGTCTGACACAAATTGGTGCTGATTAGCGGGGCTGTGTGGGGGCCCTCTGAATTATTGATGCAGCTCACAGCTTACGCCTTTCCAGCCGAGCTCCTTTTGTGCCATTAGCTGTGATTCTGCTGCTCTCAGTGCTAATGATGGGCTGTGATGGAAGGGAGATGGTGGCGAAGCGAGCACAGAGCATCAGACCACTTCAAGTTCCCTCAGCCAGGGTAAACACACATTTATAAAACAAAGACAGGGGAGGATGGAGAGGGAGGAAAAGGCAACTTTACGATTATAATTAACATGATAGATCTGATAAAACTAATAAGGAGGGGGCTAATCCTCTTATGTATCTGCATTTCAGGCTTACAATCATCCTCCACCTCCACAACCCACTACAGGCAAGCATGACTGCATTACTACAACAATGTTTGTATAGTAACAAAGGACAATAGTTTTGAACTCGCACTCTTAAAAGTAAAGAAGCCAAAAGTGTTCTTTGGAGAGACGCCATGGAAGAACTACTTTTGGGTTCTCTTAAAAACTCTTAAAAAAACAAAAATGCATAATTCTTGAAGAACGATTTCTGTAAGTGCAAGTGTGAAGAACATTTTTAAAGTGTTAAAGAGCCTCCATATACTGTGCAAGTTCTACAGCATTCAGTTCTACAACATTTTACATCCAAGCCAAGAACCATTTAGGAACCTTTATTATTAAGAGTGCAGTTGTGTACTGGCCACCCGCAGAAACGTAAAAAAAAAGAAAAGGTTCACATTTCTCAATTTTAAAAAAATCTCTTCCACTCAGAAGCCTGAATGACAAACTCTTCTTTTATTAAATCTTCTGGATTTCTAAGACTGCCTCACAAATAACCATGTTTCTGATCCATGAGAGGTCAAGTCTTTTAATGTGGCAGCAGCCGTCAGTGGCTGAGGCTCAGTGTCTCTCGGTTGTCAGTGCGGGGACACGACCCCGCCTGCAGTCCTTTCTGAAGCTGCCACTGAGACTCAGCCTGCAGCTTTAACCGAATCCAAACACGTCCTAAGGCTGAAGCCTTCCAATTCTGCCCGGCCAAACTGCAAAAGCTTCTCCGCTCTTCAATGACTCACTCCACTTAAATAAATTAATTAACTAATATATGAACAAAAACAGAGAAGAAAACATAGAAATGCAGGGAAGATCTCACAGGGGGGTTGATTCCAACACAGACAAGAGTCTGCCAATCATTTAGAGGGCACTTAAGCGCTAAGTCCATTCAATGTCAGAAAGCATTGCCTCCAAGCACTGACTGATGTATCATTATCATGACAAAACAGAAAAGAAGTCATATGCAAACACTTAATCTCCAGCTTGGAGTGGCCTGAGACTTTAAATTACAACATTGAATTTCATTACACTTTTCCAATTCAGTTTCTTCTAGAACTGACCGGTAATTTTATTCCATACCCACTACTACCCCCAATTGCCAAGAGCCACACAGCTGAGGTCCTTTAAGGTAACTGATCGCGTTTCTCACAAATACATCCATTTTTTTGTGTCAAAATTACTGCTTTAGTACATTAACTCCCTAAAATCTCAGGCCTGTTGCACACCAAGGCTTAATATTCAGTAACTGCAGGGACTTCAAAGCAAACTGGTTGAGCTATTCTTAGGTTATAGAAGTGTGTAATAAAACCCTGGTCATTTGAGGGGTCAGTGCATTTACTTATTAATGCCACTAATTTGTTAAATGCTGTTAACGCATATGACCCTTCAAACCAACCATAGTAGTGCAGGCTTAGATCCATCTGCTCATGCACAGTTGCTGTGACTCAGTGACCATAGCTCTCTCATTCAAATACTGCTTTTAAATGAGAATCCACTGATGACTGCCATTGTACATTTGTTTTTTATTAAAGTATATAAAGTCTGAAAAATTATTTACAAGTGAAACACGGAGCTGATGCCGGCGAACCCAGTAATTCGTCAGACTATGCTGGACAGTGCTCATGGAACTGGATAAATTAATCAACGAGCAGCAATCGTAACAGGAATCCATAATTTGTATGAACAAGAAAGAGCGAGAGGGCTACAATCACGGAGGAGTCAGAACATCTTCAGAGATGAAAACTGGAAATTGCTTTCACTCTAGTGTAATATTACTCATTCTTATGCTTCTCATCATGTTAACACAGGTTTAACTAACTTCAATAAGATTTTTTTCTGCAGATTTTACTGAACAATTCCTATATATTTGCTGAGTTTAACATATAAAAAATGAAAACACAAAATGTAAAATGTGCCAAAACGTTTGCACAGGCCACAATTTATGTTTTGTTTTTATTTTTGCAATAAAATGTGCAGAAATGTGTTCTCTGTAGAGGATGTGTTAACTTATTTTCACTTAGAACATCAACAAAACGTGTAATGAACACAATCTATCTTTAGGGTTAAATTTCAGCAAATAAGACAAATGCAATTAATCATGATTAAGTACACAAAATGTGATTAACCACAATCAATTATTTTAATTGTTTGACAGCTCTTGTTTTTATACAGTGCCAAATGTGGGATTTACATATATCCCATATTTACTGTATATATGTAACTACGGGAAAAAATAATTCTAACTCTAACCTTAAACTCAGTAAACAGAAAGCATGTAGCTTTTGTTAAAAGCACCTTATGAAGTCAGTATCATTTTGTTAAACATGTTAACATTGGTTTCCTCTTGCTTTTCTACAAAGTCCAAACACATACAGACACACAGAGTCACCTCACAGCACTTACTTTTACATCTAGGCAAAGCGTTACTCCACTGGCCATTGGGTTGGCAATGAGACTTGACGGCCCCCTGTAGCATATAACCAGTATTGCAGGCAAAGCGCACGACATCGTTGAGGTTGAACTGAGTTCCATGGGTTACACCATTAGCAGGGTTGCCTGGGTGTCCACATGTGATGGCTACAAAACGACACAACAGAGACTATGTGTTTATAAAAACAGCTATATCCACCACACTGTTGAACACACTTTCTCTTACATCTGCCACTGAGAAGAGCTAAACCAGTACTTACGGACACAGACGGGGGCTTTTCCAGACCAGCGGTGGTCTTGCTCACATATGCGCACGGACACGCCAATCAGTCTGAAGCCAGGGTTGCACTGGTAAACCACACTTCCCCTATAGTTATAGTTCTCGCCAATTATCTGTCCATTTACAATGGGGTCAGGAGAGCCACAGTGACCAGCTGAGGAGAAAAACACCCACACATGCACACAGACGATGACCTTGAGGTACAATACAAAGCAATTTAGCAGCAAATCATATTCTTGGAGGCTGAAAACAGTTGTTAGGTGAAGTGTTGTCTTACCAAGACACTGGACCTCAGATCCACTCCACAAACCATTGGACATACACTCCCTCACCCTGGAGCCCACCAGAGTGTAGCCCGTGTTACAGGAGAAAATGGCCGTGGCTCCGTACACAGTTAGAGTACCAATTTTATTTCCATTGGGAGGAGTTCCAAGGTCCCCACAGGAGATAACTGCCAAATACCAAATTCTCTATTATACTGTGCAAGGATATATTATACACAATCTTTAATAAACTACTTTAAGCTTTTTCAGTTTCATTAGATTTGTAAATTGGAAAATATTAACGTCGATGCTGTAACATCAAAATCTCGCAACCTGGTTATTTTTATACCATTTAAAAACACCTGTTGCTCTTTACATTGTAAGAACACTTGATAACTAATGGACTAATACAAATGATTTAAAACTACTTCCCAATGCAACATGATACCTATATAAGTTATATAACTCGCATAAGGTGGCATTGATGTTTTCTCTCTAGATATTGGGATGTGTCGTGAAAGTCTTTTGGGTGAAATGGCAGCACACTTTAACAACTGACTATGTGGCTTAGTGTATATCACAGTGACATAATGCTGATGAAGTCTAAATCTTATAAATTATAAAATGAAACCTAAGTTACATAAGGGCCACAGAAAACGCTCACTTCAACTAGCCCAGGGGTTCGGCAACAAGCGGCTCTTTTACTGCCCTGTTGAAGCTCCATCCAAGATTTTTAGGTAAAAATAAACAACCTTTGAAAGAAAATAAAGCTCTGCTGATCGTTTTAACACAGTTTTAACAATAAATGGTTTTAAAAGCTGGAGTTATTGTAGCCTGTATACAACAATCTCGCCTAGCTAGTAGCTAACGAGATGGCAAAGAGACTGGTTTAAGACAAACATCAATAGTTTAGAGATGAATGGACTTTTTTGCATTTTTAAGCACTCCAGCTGGTTTCCATTTAAGGTGGAACAGGAAAATTAGAAGCTGGTGAATGAGAAGCGACTTCAGCCTCGTAAAAAATCAAATGTTGAGAGACATTTTATAAGAAATTAATCTACTTTTGCAGCAACGTTTTCTGCTGGAGATGAGAGAAAAGTGGCTATAGCTGAGCTAAAGCTTAAAGCAGAGCAAAGTAAGTCTGCGTTTTTGTTTATATTATATTTTAGTCTGTACTAGGACTTTAGTACATACTAAGACATACTTACAGCCAAAATGGTAAAATGGACATAAAATGTTGTGGCTCTCAAGGTGGTTTGATTTTTGTTGAAAGGACAAAATGGCTCTTCTTAATATTTGAGTTGCAGACCTCTGAATTATTCTGACTTGGCAAGCTATGCCATATTATCGCCATAGCGTACACTAACGCACATGTACGTGTCCAAAAAAAAAAAAAAAAAAACTCACATAGATTGACCTGATATGAAACCTGCAAATGAAACCATACGTAAAAAGAACCCTATTGGAGTAAGTATTTATAAAGTTTATGTAGGTTATGTGAGTTGTCATGAAAAGCTTATGTAAGTTTTGTTTAGCCTTATAAACATTTCCCTACAGTAAAGTGTTACCAAGATATTTTTGTTACTCTATAAAGTGTCCGTGTTTGTGTTGCAACAGCAACTTTCAAGGCTGAGAAATTTTTTATAACAGAAATAGTTTTTGATCATTTATCAATTCCTGACCATTATATAGCCTTTGAGACAAACTGCAGGTGATGCTAACTAAGTTTCTGAATAATTCAATTCTAAGTAGACGTAAAGGTTCTCACTTTCACAGGCAGGTCTTGGCTCAGGATAATCCCAGGAGCTGTTGGCCTGGCAACGGATGACCCTCTGACCCTTGTAGAAGTAGCCAGGGTCACAGGTGAGCATCATCATGGCCTCATACTGATTTTGCATGCCATAAATAAGCCTCCATCTCCCGTGTTCCACTGCGGAGTGGCCGATGTCAGGGCAGGTGACAGCTGGAGAGAGAACATGCTTTCAAGTTAGTCTCAACTCTAAATGTCTGTCCTAATGTGAAGCTCCATCTAGTAAAATGTGAGAGGCTGGATATTTTTAACCCCTTGAACTCTAAGGAATGAATAATATGCCTCTAGTTTAAGGCACAGTAGATGGTTCACAAACATTTCATCAGCTTATTTCAGGCAAGGAATGCTCTCTGAACTTACGTATGCATCGGGGTGGGGCTTCCAATGGGCTCCACCTCCCTGACTCTTGACAAACTGTTGACACCGGCACTGTGTTGGCCAATCGGAATCCAGGGTTACACCTGAAAGTGACTCTTGAGCCGAGAGTGAAATCCTGACCAACAACACTACCATTCACTGGTGCAATGGGCATCCCACACAACACCACTGGGGAGAGAGAGAGAGAGAGAGAGGGAGAGAGAGAGAAAGAAGATATGATCAAGACTTACTACAGTATCCACTAACAATCTCTGACTGTCTAGAACACAGGAGGTGATCAAAAGTGACAAAGTGAGCACTCAACTCTAATATAATTATGATGCAGACAGCTGAGTTTATAGCGTGCCATGTAATGTTAGCGAGCTATATTCATGGCAAACGCTAAACTAGTTCGCCAGCTAATTATATGTGAAGTGCTGTGTGCTGGTTTCCGCAAAAGCCCGGCAATCCCACATTAACTTAACAACTGAGAATTCCTTCTGAGTTTTAATAATGACATCTCTAATGAACACCCTTAGTTAATTTAATTTCCAGTCATAATGGCCTTTAAGAACAAGTTATTCATTTTTTAGGAGATAGTTCTTTCAGTAGATTAGATATAAAATAAACCACTTGCATAAGGAAGGAGAAAATCAACTATGCAAGACCTGACATACACCAACACTGTCCCCATCAGATAAACAGCACAAAATCTTTTATCTTTGAGAGTGAGGAGAAAATCAAGCTCCACTGTCGCTTCAGATTTGAAAAAATCCACGTGTTTCTGTCCGTCCTACAACTGTGAGAAGACAACTCAATGCTATGGGTCTGAAATAATGTGCAGCTGTCAAGAAGCCCCTACTTGAGAAAAGGAAATCGACAACTAAGAACATTTGCAAATCAAACAAAGAAGCTGCTGGTGTTCTCAGAGCAATGGACTGGCCAGCCCAGAACCCAGACCTCAACATCACTGAATGTGTTTAGGATTACATGGATTGTAAAAAGCAGAAAACACACTAACTTCTAAGACTGAACTTTAAAGCTGGGGAAAAATATCATGCAGATTTTTTTTTGAAAACTCCAAATAATTAATTACTTGTATTTACTGACAGTTTTGAATTAAAAAAAAAAAGGGCAGCCCTTACTTTTGCACAGTACTTTACAAGAACAAAGATTCACGACACATTTTTGTTTGACAACAAAGGCAGCAAGAAACTCAGAAAGTAAATCCATGTAAGCAATGGAATCTGATATTAAGCCACTGGAGATGCTTTCAAGACCACAGGGTATAGAGTTTTTCGTCTCACTGTCTAGCTGTGATCAGATCATTTAAGATGGATGTTAATGCCAGGTGTGAACTTATCTATCTCTTGATTTCAGGGAAACTCTTAGCTTCACGCTAAAACACTCAGGTGATCAAGATTCAAACAGAACACACTATAATAATTATGTTCTGCTTCATGTTCATCAGTAAATACACTCAGCTAACATACATGAACACAAACATTGCACAAACCAGCATTGTACCTGTACAAACAAAGGTTTGTGGCAGCTTGAGTGGTGAGTTTAATCCTGAATAGAGATTACACCTGTGCATAGACCCAGAGCACCTGCTGCTCCCAGCTGCTGTTGTAAAGCATAGGTAGAGAAATCCTCTGTATGTCAGCGGTGCAATTCAATGACTCATTTTCCCTGCAGGACACCAGTCTTGCACAGAAAAAGACAGCCTGCATGTACAACAGATGTGACGCAAAGGGTATAAATCACAAGGGTTGCCCTCTAAAGGGAAACATCTTTTGATCTTTTGGTCATCCCTCAAAGCAGACCTCACACATAGAAGAAAAAACAAAACACACACACCAGCAGCTCCATTGATCTTGCTGATTATATAGGAGCCATGGGGCTGTTCATTTCAATCTGTCCAGCAAATGATTGCTAGTATTTACTGCGGATCTCATTGTACTCTAATACAACAGAGGGAGTCCTGTGAGGCTTATGGCCTGAGGCGCCTCATACCTTTCCCAGTCAAATTAAAATCTGCCTCGCTCACAGGCAAAAGCCTTGTTAGTCAGTAAGGAGCGCTACATGGGAGACTGCAAAATGGCCGACTGGATGGCCATGCATGCTTCAGCGAAAGCCAACTGTTGGTATGTGAAGAGTTTCTCCCCTTGGACAGCGCATTAGCAAAAGTGTCTGAGTGAAGCCTGCTGGCTAGACTGTTTATTGTGATGAGCAATTTGGATGGACGCAGCCAAGGCCCAAACGCCTTCCGAATGCCGAATTAACGGTCTCAGCATACCGCTGCCGCAGATGGGCTTAAGATGAAGGATGTGAAGATGGACAGGAAGACAGGCAGGGAATGGCTGCGGGACATATACCGAGGGGTTCTGGATGAGTGCTTTTAACCCACCTTGGCACAGGGGCACAGGAGCATTCCATTGGTAGATGCCCTGTGGGGTGCGGGTGCAGGTGGCGCTGCTCTGGCCAATCAGGCGGAATCCTTGGTCACAGCTGAAGCGCAAGGTACTGCCCAGCTTTGTGCCTGTCTGGCTGTGCACTGAGCCATTCACCGGAGGGTTAGGGGGGCTGCAGTATGCCGCTGTAAGACACACACACCCCACACATACACACCCACACACACACACACACACATAAGAACAGCAAAATAACAGCATCAGTCTGTGCTCTGTCTGCAGGAAATGTGCTTCTTCAGTGCATCTTTTATTCCTTCTAATTCCTCGCTTTGTTCACAGACGAAGCTGCATATTAATGCAGTGTTGGATAAGCCCATCCTTTAAGCAGAGCCACGGCACAACTGTGGAGAAGAAATTGATTAAAGGAGATGTGCTGTAAAAAGTGGATGCTCACAAAAGCCTATAAAACTGATGGATTCACAACACAGGCTCAAATGTGTTTATGCACACTTGTTGGATATTTTGTCTGCTTAAGAATAACACAGATGTAATTCGCTGTGCGCAGCAACAAGTCAACAGTTTTGAATAGGGGAAAAAGCCAGCCTGTGCAGGATGGGATTTCTAGAGAGAAGTCTCCAGTTAAAAACTCTCCTGGTTCAGATACAATCTTTGCAAGGAGGCTTGTGGCACGGATCAGATTGAGGAGGTAAACGAGTGAAACGATATGGGATGGAATGACGTAAAGAGAGGTATTGAGCCACAGGAAGAGATAAGGCAGGAAGCGGGGCGGGAAGAGAGATGCGTCCCATCCATTATGGTTAATCGCTATGACCACATTACATCTCCATAAAAATGCTAATTCCAGGCAAACACCACATGTCTCTATCTGCCAGGCCTGAAGAGCTCCAGCACCCTGAAGACAATCAGATAAGGCTAGACCACTGCAAGAGAAAAAAAAAGTTATGGCAATGGAAGCGTGGGCTTCACTTCAGGTTTTACGAGTGGTGAGGCTCTTCAACAAATTGTGCCGTTAAGGCAGAAAATGTGGAGGTCTCGAGCGAGCTACTCATCCATTAGCAGCAATGGGCTGGGATCTTGGATAAGGGACCAATTTGGGAATTTACAGCTCATATCCAGTGTACAGCATTAAGTAAAACTCCCCATGGAGTGGTAAAATGGCCGAGAGGACGCTCCACTGTTGTCAGAGAGAGAGGTGCTGCCGGACCCAGAGAGGCAGCGGAGACAGGCCTTGGCTCTGGGCCACTGACAGCTGGGTATGAGAGGAGGCTTAAAGGGAATTCAGCCTTCACCCTCTCCATTTGCAGTACATCTAGACATGCTTTATTCCCTCACCTGGCAAAGAGCGAACGCCCCAGGCCTTATGTTCGATAAAATCAAAACGCAAACAAATCTCTGTGTCGCTATTATGCCTTTGGTAGCAAAAACCTGTCTGGCTATCAATCTCTCCAACCCTTCCTCTCAGGACCAAAGGAAAAAAAACATACTCCATCACCAATCACAGCCAGTCACTCACCACTCAGAATACATTAATGCACAAGAGTGAGGTGGAAAAAAAGGTATGCAAGCAGAAAAGATGAGGGAAATGAAAGGAGAGAGAGAGCAAGAGCTTGCCACAAATTGGTGGTAGAGAGCCAGCCTGTGGAGAGAAAAGATAGATTGATAAAGAAAACAGTAGAACGCTTTGAATCTGCCCCGCCATCTGTTTTCCTCCCACCAAGGTATAGCTCCAGAAGGGGGGTCCATATTGAGGATGCGAACCTGCGCGCCGCTGCTGCTAACTCACAACGTCACTGATCTGGCTATCAAAACTCCATCGAGCATGGAGAGACAGAGCGCGGAACAGTGAGGACGCGGGCGGCAGGAGAGAACAGACTCCGCTGTGTGAGAGCAAGAGATGATTAGTCATCCTTCTGAGCCACTCATGATAAGGAGCACATGGAAACTTTTTAAATATTTATACAACAATAACTCATCCAGAATTATGCAGGTGTCAGGAGGAGAAATCTCCAGTCTGAGAGGTTATGAATGTATATCTGCACTGAGTAAATGCAGCTGTGACATTACTGCTCACCTGAATAGCGGATTCGGAAGCCCTTGTGGCTGGAGGTGTGGTCAAAGGACCAGTGCAGGTAGACTTTGTTTGAGGAGCTGGTGATGCTGAGAGGGGACGAGTAGTTCCCACTTAGAGTGATGAGCAGAGGACTCTGTCTGGATGGACCTGCATGTTAAAGACATGACCTTGATCACAAAACACAGCAATCATATTTCTGATTCAACCATAGGCTTAATTTACACTGCAGACATTGGGGACGCTGACGACATGTCCTCACCACTTTTTAAGTGTGCAGTCTATTGAAATTCTTTCTCTTATATAATTGCTCACACTAGAAAAGTGCCTAAACACTTTCTATTATGTCAAACAGACCATGTGGCAAAGTGACTTTGGTCTTTCCTCAACATTAAATTCACACATGATGCTCGGTTGGCTATGCAGTGCACTGCAACAGTTAATAATAGAGATATTTGCTATTTTTTCTTACCAGAAGTGAGTGCAATGGGTGATTGCAGGTTATAAATACAAATGTAATTATTCAGTATGATGTGGCATAAAATGTTTAACGGTAACACTTTATTTAGTGGTCCTTTCTAGATGATTAATAAACTCTTAACAGAGTATCAGTAACACATCAACAGCTTATCAGTGAAGTAGCAGTAGTGAAGCATCTAAATTCACTGAAGTAAATATCTTGAAGATGTACTGTTGATACATTACTAACATTAAGTAGATGTATTGTTAATATGTTCTTCCATACCCAAAACCTAACCCCAACCCTGGCCCTAATCCTAACTCTAACCTCAACTCAAAGCCTAATCTTAACCCTCATAAGTTTTTGATATGTTACTGAGAGTCTGTTGAGCGTTTGTTTCATTAAAAAGGACCACTCAAAATAGTGTCACCGGTTTAACATAATCAGTTTCATGTAACTTTCCTTTTTGTATTGATGTTTTAAGCTAAGAATCATTCAGCTGAACACAAGTCGTCTTAAATAGTTCTTATTCTATCTTTGAACTGCATGAGAATATGACAATCACGCTATGTTTACTGCCTGCTGTTCATCATTTAGCAAAAATGCTAAATGATAACTATTGTATAGACCAAGAATTGAAGGTATAGCTTACGGTCTTCCTAATTAGAAAGTGTATTGTACTGTGATTTTAGCCTAGTGTCACACCTCCCTCCAGGCCTGGCTGAAACTAGAGCCAATGTGGTTGCCCAGGACTCCAATTCCCAGAACTCCTTGCTGCATCACATGGCTCAGGAGTCTCACCGATCCACCCATCACCCTCTTCATCTCTGGACTACTGATTACACACACACCTGTTCCTTGTTTCCTTTGTTTGTTAGTTTAGTATATAAGCCTGGGCTTTAGCTTAGTTTATTTGCGAAGTATCGTCACACCTATGCGCGTACTGAGCGTTTCATCCTTGTTCCTGACTGCTTTCCTGTGTATGACCAGTTTTACGTTTATGACTCTGATTCTAGCTGTACCCTTTTGTTCCATGTTGGTTTTCTGGTTTTCGACTTTCTGTGATTTTGGACAACCCCTTTGACATTAAAGATCTTAACTCAAGTCTCTGCTGCGAGCGTCCGGTTCCATCTGCCACCGTTACACCTAGAGAATGAATAAGCCTGTTTATAACACACTCATGGATCCAATATCAATAAATCAATATATATATGCTACATGTCTGATAATTTGTAGACATCTGCTCATCCAATGTTTGCTAAATTCACTAATTAGAAGGGATACATTTGGACAAACAGTGTATATAGGGTGGGATGTTATATTAACTGCTCAAGACCCTAACCCTACAAAAAACCCAAAAGCCTTTTTATACATAAGCTGTTTACATGTTATTGTTTTTCCTGGTTTGCAACATCTTTCTACAACCTGCTTCTGACAGTTTTAACAAATCTACAAAACTTCAAACACACACGCCAGACACACATCAAAACCAAACCACTGGCAAGCATTTGTAACAGTCAAAACACAGCCCATCTGTTTCTTTCAGCAAATACCAAAAGGCCTGAAACCTTTAGCATATTCTGCATTTGCAGAACAACATAAGCCCTGAGAGGAATCCAGCTTTGTGAGGGCCACCTCTACGTCAAAGGGTTTTCCTGCGAGGGTGTGTGTTTTAGAGTTTGGGACAGGCTGCAGACTGGAAGCAGGCCTCCGTAGAGAGCCGTGTTTGGCAGCACATGATGAAAGTAGCCTGCTCTTCAGCTCGATGGAAGATGAAACGCTGTAATCAGTAGCGAGCATGCCAGCTCCCCTAAGGAGAAGCTCACACTGCGCCCAAATGACATGCAAACACACACACCAGCCGCTGCGTTTTGTCAGGCGCAGAAAGAGAGCGTGTTTCCTTACAAGCATTCAACCAGCGTCACTTACTCTACCTTTGCCCTTCTCTTACTTTCTCTTCTGTATGAAATGCAGCCCATAGATCATTCATGCCCTGTCAGGTTTTAAACAGCATGCATGCTGCGGCATGAATACAAATAAATCTGTGAAATGAATGTAAAACAGGCACGGATGTAAATCGTTCACTTAACCGCTATTTGATCCCAATTACGTTTCAGTGGTTGACCATTCAATTCGAGTGCAATTTAGTTTTACTTGTAATGATCCAGGTCGATTTTGTAAGCCATGATTCGATTCGCAGCCCTTTAACCAATTAAAGAGTTTTTATCTTTAAACAAAAAAGAAACTGATGAACAGACTATGAAATTGCCTCAGAGTTTACAGCGGCACCGCACTCTTAAATTAAAACTACTGTTTCAAAAGGTGTGTTTATATGCGTGCCACAGTAAAAACTCCTTCAGGTAGTACACTTATGAATACAAATTTATTCATAAAGGTTCAGGTTAGCGCTAGATTTTCCTCTCCAAAGAGTGTCAATACATGTCAAATCAGTGGGTGCTTCAGTTTTGGGAAAAAAAAAATCACAGCTGCAGATATTTCAGAAGTTGGAATCTGTGAAATGTGGTAAGAAAATGAAACAGTATATCATATGAACCTTAGATAAACACTAAATTACTGGTTCCAGAGATTATAGCACAAAGTTGTGATGGTTGTTTTTGATTCTGCTGGGTAGTCTGAGACTCAAGGCTGGTCTAATACGAATGACATTGAGCTACTGAGACATGAGCTATTTGGACACTAAAGGAAACATGTGAAATCAAAATAGCTCACAATGGTGCACCATACTTTAAAACTAATATCTTTTGGCATATGTTCTTAATGGGGCATTCCAGACTAAAATTAGAGTTTAATGTATTTTTAGCACAGCATTCCATCCCTCATCCTCATTGCTTTGACAGAATTCACAGTTTTATCTAGTTTTTATGTTTTCATTCAATAATGTTCTCTCACTACAGTACCCAACATGCATTACGCAAATGCATTGTACAGTGGGAATCCCTGTAGTGTCAACCAACCCTGACTACAAGCCTAGACACTGATATACAGGCTAATTTATACAACCAAGCTAGAATTAGCTAGCATTACTCATAACACAATTGAACAAAATCATAAAGGACACAGTGATTCTACCCTCATTAAGCAAAAATGGATGGAGAGACAGAAAGAGGAGGTTTTTACGCTTTCACGCTGATAAATGAAGCCAAACTGAGGTAAGCTAACAATATAGCCAGCTACCATGCTTTAGCTTACAGCTTATTGCCCTCCTCAACTCACATAATTGATTTGATCATTTGATGACTTAAAGACAGTTTCAACAGTTATAAAGCTGCAACAAGCAATTCAGCTTTCCAGTAGTGACATTAGATCCCTGGCCTCCTTCTAAATTCACCGGATAATGGGAAGATACACAATCAGAAGGGAGTCTTCCTAGTCTTTACAGCAGAAAGTCTCACTCTAGAGACTACTGCAGCATCGGTAGAATGCCAGTAAGCATGTTTTACAATAGATGTAGTGATGATTACATTTCTTTTTGACCACACTGTCCCTTTAAGGGAAAAGGAAGGGAACTAATGCAATTGAATTGACAGAAATTTGCTCAGCGCACTGATTAAATCCATGAATTGTTACACTCCTGAAAGGAGGAAAACAACAAAGACAGTAGAATGCTGAATGTCCTCCTCAGTCTGTAACAGTGTCTCCACCATGTGGTGATCTTTTCCTGCTTTAATGGCATCTAAAATGTGGTGACCCTCCATGTATGCGCACTGACCTGTTGGCCCTGTAATCCAGTTTCTAATCTCGGTCTAAATGGGAGCCTGTTGACCCACAGCATGGCCACCGACCTGCTAGCTGCCCCATGTGATCCCGACAGACTAAAGCAATTTCCATCGCCTTTTCAAGTATGGCTGTCACTGCGTGACCTATGTGAAAGAGCATGTATCTGTCCTGCTGGTCTCTCCACAAATGTCTGTCTGGCATCAGAGGTACATGTAAAGTCTCTTTGGCCACAGCACATTCCAGGTCATCAAGCATGTTTCTTTTGAAGTGATGGCTTTGATAAAATCTTGTTGCTACCACAAATAAAAATATATTGATGAAAATGATTAACCCTTTTTCACAGTAGCCATAAAATGCTATTTCTACCTGTTTTGGAGGTTTGCAGTCTTATTTTACCTCAGCACGGCTATCTATGAGGATTACTTTCACAGGAGGGGGTTCTAATCCCTCCCATTTCACCCCTCATTCCTTGCTAGCAGCTCAACACAGAGTCATATGGACTATGTCCATTCCACAGACAGAATGGGCACTAAGAGAAATAGGTTACAACACAATGCAAGACACTCACCATCAAAGATTTCCAGCTCATCAAACTGTCGACTTGTCTGGAAGTGCTCGATTGTGAAGGTGATGTTGTAGCCTGGCTCCACCTTCACCACCCAGGAGCATGACTCAAAGTGGGGGAAGCCGCTGCCTGGAGATTGGCTCAGAATGACCCCTGTAGAAGCCGTCAGCACCTCATTCATGGGACAGGTCACTGGCAGGGGAAGAGAAATATTTATTTCAGTTGTACATCATAAATTCAATTCAATTTAATTCAATATACACAGTTCTTTTTACAATAGATGTTGTTACAGAGCCCATTTATATCCAGATCCAGACCACTAATGAGCAAGCCAAGGGCATGTATGGGAAGAAGTGACATGTAAGTGCAGTGCAAGGCAAACATCTATTCTTTCAATCTACACTGTTTCTGATTCAGTTCTGTAAGTACTGAAGGCAGGAATAATAACCAGCACTTCTTTTGTCATTTACTTTCTAATTAAATAGTTTACCAGCAGGTTTAAAACACGATGGCATAAACAGCATATTTGTTTTTTACTCCTGTTTGTGAGGTAAAATGCGTATAGTTATCATCATGACAGTACACAACTGTTGTGCAACTACCAGGCTAACAAGATAAACCTTGCCGTGGATTATGGTTTTAAATATAATTTACAATGCCACAGAAAGTGGGATTGTTGGTATAGTGGAGTGGGGAACATCACTGTCCTCCATGTGGCTGATTGTGGTTCAGTTCCTTGCCTGGTAACACGATGCTGGGCCAGTGTGTAGACATTTTTGGAGAAAAAGCGCAGCATGAATATGCATTAAACTTAATTTAATTTGCAGCATATTGCAACCACTCATGTTACAGTGACAGCCTCTTAGAGAGATGGTGTAATCATGTTCCAGAGGAAACCTAACATAGTGTTAAGAGTTTTTCCCAAGGCAGCCAAAGATATTAGCTCTTAAGAGCATAGTATAACTCCCTGTTTTTTACAGTGTCAGAAATTTGGCTTAGTAAGTTATTAGCAACCCTTACTGCTGTTTGGTTTTTGTTCAAAATAACCACAATGTGATGCTAGATTATTATTATTTTATTGGCAGGATTTCCAGTGCTGCGGTGATGTGTGTATCCATGACAGGTCTGAGTAACTCAGCCGAAGCCTCTACTGGTGGGAGCAGAGGGTGAAGAACGATGAAGCTTGTGGAACCCAAACCAACCCCCTAGCTCTATTCCTGAGTCTCATTAAAATTGATCTTGAAGAATGGTCAACACAATTATACACACGATCAGCAGGGCACTTGTATAGTCTAAGGGCAAAAGTGCAGGGGCTCAAGCCTCCTTCCGGTCTATCTCTGCATATGCCTGCACCACACTATATTAATAAGAGTCCTTGGGCTAGACTCCAAATGCCACATTTGCCTACCTCTGTAACATGATTAAACTGTAGGTGACTCTGGATAAGAGTGTCTGCCAAATGCTGTAGAAATTTAAATGGATCTCTAGGCAAGAAACTTGCTGTGTAAAAAAAACACAGAAGGATTGATGGGGTCACATTATGATGGACGTGTGTTGGTGTGGTTTCAAACATTTTATCAGTTCCATCAAACACACCACTCAAAGATGCTTCAGAAACTGGCCTTATGTGAAATGGCCTTACCAGCCTGAAGAAGAAACACAGATGAGCTAATCCTCTGGGTTGTACAATGTCCAGACTGTCAAGGTCAACTCTGACAGTCTGGCTTTGTCAATGCTTGTCTGTACCTCAAATATCAATAAAAATGCCTTTATGAAACAGTCTTTCAAAGACAGAGGAATGCTGGTAAGAGAACCTGGCCTCTCTGATCCATCCTTGGTACTGATACACCATTCAGATCACTGCAACATTTGTTCTTTGCCAATGTTGTATGAGAAAGCAAGTCAAGCCGCTGAGCAACCGGAGGTCAGACCAGTTTAGGTCCCACTGCTGCTGACTTCATAGCTCGAAACACAGAACCACAGACATGAAACAAAGCATACACATAATTTGACAGTTCACTTCATACGCTCACCAGCCCAAGAAATGCATGTGTGTGTGCATGTGTACCCATGAGAGGTATAATCTCAGGCTATGATGGTACATGCAGCACCTCAGGCTAGAGGCTACAGCAAAGAGAAGGTGCCAACATTCGTGTTCAATTTGCCTGCGAGGCCATGACATTTCCTTACACTTTTCCTTTGAATTATGAGGCTTTATTCAGTGCCCCATCTTGAAGCCCCTCTATTATTTGTGCTCTAGCTGTCTGCATATGCTGTGAGAATCCAAACACAAATGACAACATAAAAGGATAAAGCCTCACCTTTGACACGTTTCTAATATTCCATCTCATTTTTCCTTCCGTGCCAAAGAGTCACGGATGAGAAGCTGCAGAATACACGGATGAAGCAGACCACAAGCTGGACGGCAAAAACTGTCATCTTTAAATATTTATGGCACTCGCATTTTGGATATGAAATATGGATTTTGTACTTTCTTGACTTGCTAAATAAATCTGCTGAAGGTGTAGAGCTCAGCTGGTGTAAAGGGGCTAAGGCTACAGTGATATCAACACGCAATTACAGCATGTTTGCAGAAGGTTTGCAGTGGAGTTGTCTTTCTCGCCTTCTAATTCCCTTATCTTTTTACCTCGGCAATCAGTCTGCGGAATGTGAATATTGACTTAAGACCACTTGCAGAGAGAACAAATGCGTTAAATCCCACTAAATGACATGACATGCTATAAATTGCTTTGTTTTCAGCACTTTACAGAAATGTATCAGGCTTACTAATTCGTTAAAATCAAATCCCCACATCTACGCACTGATCCATGTCTCGCTTTCAGATCATTCACATTCTGTGCATGCTGAATGCAGCCAAGCTTCAGCGGAGGGATGTCAGAACATGACGGATACCTCAACTCGTTACGCTGACAGAAAAGAAGTCCAACTGATGCAGCTCACTTCAAAAAGTAGTAGAAGGCAGAAGGAATGTCTGAGTATGTAATACCGTTATGAAAACCATCATAACACTTAACTACTTGCACAACAGCAAGTGACCCATGTGAGTTGTTGGCATGTTTACATACTGCAATGCACTTTGAATTGACTGTGTATTCATGCATATCACCCTTTGTCCATACGTCAGTTATCATATGTTCAAAGACATGGCTTTCAGAAGAGGCATCTAACAAAGATTTAAGTGTGTAAAAGCCTTTGCAGCAGGCTGAGCTCTGTGCGAACAGGCTGTGCTAACATTCTAACAGCAATAATGGTGACAACAATTCAATTATGAAATGTTACAGCTAGCAATGAGCAAATTACACACTCGTAAAGGAAAAAGTGTATTATTAAGCTTTCCACTTTCAACAGATCTCTGTAGCCTTTGAGTGTGTTTGTGCGCTGGGCAAATATCGTGCCCAGGCGAGCGCACTGCACGGATTTGCTTTGACACATCTCATTTATGAGGGTGAAATACAGAGGCCTATGAACTGCTGTAGTGCTCCGGGGGGATATAAAATGTGCATGGTGTTTCATTTAGTGACAAACATAATCATAGCTGCATATGAATGCTCACGCTAGCCCATCATCACTGCATAAAGAATAGTGCATGCAGGTAAAAATCAGTTTTTATTACTCCACCACACGACCCCACTTACTGTGTGTGAGTGCGTGCATGTACTGTATAGATGGGCCTACATGTGCAGTGACCTAGATGTTGATCAGACACTATATGATAATTGTGTACATGAACAGCGTATATGCTAACCCACATAAGAAGATGCACAGTAAGCCAGTTAACTACTAGATGGCTATTTTGCTAATATTAAAGGCCTTTAAAGGAACTATCTGAAGAATAGTTTGGTAAAAAATCTAATTTACACAATTTCCTACTTACTGAAACACAATTCCTCAGCTAGGAAGCTATGATGCTAATGTAGCTAACAAGTAACACACACTAATAACCACTCATTAGCAAGGTGCAAACTACTTCACATGTGCTGGTAGTCATTCATAAGGTAGACTGTAACATTAAACACACAACATTGCTATGGTGGACACTGAAATGTTGTTGTTTTAGGCAAACAATTTGCAGTTTTAGATGATCTCTTAGATAAGCAGAGTAGATCTGGTTTCATATGCCATCACGCTGTGCATTATCTGATGGTTGTCAAATTCTGTTGGCAAGTATGACTGAATGCATCCTGTACTGTTTAAAAGCTGCAGGTATGAACGGCGTTAACTCTAAACTTTCGCAGTAAAAGTTTCCAATAATGTTCTGAATATATTCTGTATCAGTGATCTCCAAGCCTGGTCCAGCTAATGAACCTCTTTCTAAGTCCTTCATTGGCCGGATCAGATGTATTTGAGTTAAGTAAGGGGCAGGGCAGCTTACTGGATACAGGCTGGAACTAAACTCTGCAGGAAGGTAGCTCTCCATGCTATCTAGAGTACCAAGGGTCTACCTGGCTCAAAAAAAAAATATATAAAATAACACGGGGAAACCAAAGATAAGATGCCTATTAATACTACATGTATGTGCATGTTTTATCTTAAGTTCTATTCAAGGTGGATTAGTTTTACCTGGGGGGGTGCTGTAATTTAAGTGATTAACGAGGATATCCATGATTTTAATCCAGTACAAATCTGCAATGTCCGTATTTTTTACAAGTCTGCTAATTAATTATTCCAGAGCAAAGTACCTTTTATAATGTGCTGAATGCGGAGGTCCTCACAGTGTAATAACAAAACTAGGCAACAGAATATTTCTTTCTTTTTGTGACATGACGACAAGGGCAACTGCTAAAATGGAGCTCGCTTAATCCTCAAGCTCACGTCAAGACTACTGAAATCCATAGCATTGTTGATCACCGATTTACAAGAAAACAGAAAATGAAACAGCCATCATTCTATCTTTAATGAAAGGACATCTGTGACGCAATTCATTGTGTATTCCCTTCTGTACACTCTGATTATGCACCACCATTTCGAACTGTGGTTGACAAGGAGTGTCAGTCCACACTGAAGTGATGTAAAGTCTCCTCTCTTGTCCTATTTATTTATTTTTTTTAAATGCCATATTTTCCATTTAGCTGCACAATGTGTTAACTGTTGAGAAGCGTGGCACCTGTTGCACAATACCGATGTGAATATCCACATGATGATGTTTCTATCAGGGCTATTTGATAGAAGTT